TGTTAAACATGCTGAAACGGTCTTAAACCCACAACAACATTGTCTTACTTACAACAAACATCTTAGCCATTCATCTTTTTTGTGATGGTATATAAAATAATCAGGGGTCCCTATGACATCATTAGTTATTCAGACAATTACCGAAACATATAAATGCATACATGAATTTCTACTTAAATATGTATGTACATATACCGTATTCAACGTAATAAGCGCCCAGAGCGCTCTCAAAATTAGAAATAGGGGCCTCTTATTAGAATAAAATTTTGGTGAAAAAAAAAACAGAGTTGAAAGATCGTAAATTTCGTGGTTTATGCCTACAGCCTGAAATGATACAAATATTATACACGACAGATATATTTTTCCAGAATTTAATTGCCCGTAATTAAGGGTGCATATAACACACGAGTGCGTATTATACACGGATAAAAAAGTACATTGGGATTGTTCACTAGCCAATATATTATCAAATCTTGCCGTGGGCGCTTATTAGAGCGGGGTGCTTATTACATCGAATACGGTAACTTTTTAAGATAAATAATAAAACTGCATTAGGAGATAGATGTTGATGTAATGATGAATGCTGACTTTCACTCTTCTTCACTACAGGGTGGATTCATTCCTACATTATTACCGGTATGTACAATTGATCAATGAAGGATGACATCGTAAAGCTGCTATCCTTAATAGATAGATCTAGCAAGTATTGAAGATTAATATACATACCATATTCGACGTAATAAGTGCCCAGGGCGCTCTAAAAACTAGAAATAGGGGGCTCTTATTAGAATATTATTTTGGTGAAAAAAACAGAGTTAAAGGATAAATTTCGTGGTTTATGCTGACAGCCTGAAATGTTTATATACGACAGATATATTTTTCCAGAATTTAATTGCCCATAATTAAGGGTGCATATAACACACGAGTGTGTATTATACGCGAATAAATAAGTTTTGTGTACATTGATCAATCGGAAGGGGTGCTAATTGGGATTGTTCACTAGCCAATATATTAGCAAATATCGCCGTGGGCGCTTATTAGAGCGGGGCGCTTATTACGTCGATTACGGTAATTCTAAAAAAAGAAAATGTGACAAACAATATATGAATAAATAAGTAGCTATGACCGCGAGTTTATGACAAGTGGCAAGACCAGTTTTGCTCTCAGTCAGCATTGAAGAAACCAAGTCACATTTGCAGGATGTCACAAGTATGATGCAAGTATGTCATAACGTATGTCATAACGTTGCGCTATATACGGACTCGCACATTTTGCTATGTTCTTTTCATTCAGTATAAAAACACACCTGCAACTTGGAATATGACCGGATTAAACAAAGCTAGGACGATATGAGTCAGCGATAGAAACTAACATGTTTAGTCCACTAGTCCTTATAATGAAAACATATAGCAAAACCCTTTAAAATGGCAAATTTCTACTGGTCCTTATACCTCAACTATCGGGCAGTTTGGCAAGGACTCTAAGACTAGTGCCAATTTCTAACGCTGTGAGTGCACTGCTCAGCCTCAGAAAAGAACAAGGTTTAACTCAAACAACAACTTACATGTACTTCATCCTTGAAACTCCAAACAACAACTTACATGTACTTCATCCTTGAAACTCCAAACAATGAAAATAGCACTGTAAGTATCCTGTATGTTCAGGATATCCTCGTGATATCCTGTAAGCTATCTCCTGTAAACTGTCACGATATAGCATCTAACATCCAGCAAAACAAAAACATGGCTACCAGGACATGGAAAAAAGGCATAATATCGGCATGTTGTGATGTAGCCTTGTGACACACACAGAAATGACTAAACATTTGTTCTGGGATTGCAGCAAAGTAAAAGCGATCTGGACAGCGCTGGAACTTTGGCTAAATACCAGCGCTCAAATCAAAGCAAAAATCACCAAACAATATGTTTTGGATACCAATTCAGAAGTAATGACCCATTAAATCTGATAATTATTCTTTGCAAAAGTCTTATTTTCTCACGTAAAGACAAAGTATATTCCATCGTTCCAGATCTTCCAGAATGAACTGAAGCAGTATTACTTCATCTCCAAATGCACAGCACTATAAGTGGGAATTCAGACAGATTCTATAAATATTGGTCATCATGCCATACACTTTTTTAGTAACATGGAAGTAACTGTTTTTCTGTTTTGTAAAAAAAATATGAAATGAAACAAATAAAAAATTATTTTAAAAAATGATATCGGCATGGCTACATTTCAGAAACAGACTGATTGCATCACACACTCTGAGCAAACATCCTTGAGGACATAATTTGAGTGAATTTAAAATAATATTACTGCAATCTCATCAAACCCAGATCTTTTACTCCAATACGATGCTTCTCTGCATCCACATCTGAGCATCTCTGTAATATATAGTATATAGAATATCTGTACGGTGATGGTGGAAAATACACCAGCAAGTGTAGTAGATGTCATTGTAAACATTTTATATCAATCTCAACAGATATATTTTATTACATTGGTTTACCATCTACAAAAAACACTATGATTTCTGTCTGCAAATGACGTTAAGTATTTTTTCACACAACACCGAAAGGACTACATATTTTTCAAACAGCACGTCAAATTAACTTAATTAACAAGGTGCTCACTCCATTTTTTATATGGAAAGGGTTTTGTTGCTTTAATATGATGATGATGATGATGATGATGATGATGATGATGATGATGATATCAAAGGGAAACAACTCCAACTCCATATGAAGTAGCTGCCCTTGACAAGAAAAGGTCAGGGTCATTGCCATAACATGCAAACATGCTGCTATGCTGCTATGAAACTATCTTATTTGGTACAGCAATTACTTGAATTTCAAACAAGTCATATACATGTGACAAATATGTCTGAGTCTACTCTATTTTCTTTTGGCATCATTTATGGACATTCTAAGATAAATGTACTGAACCAAACAAACTTTAACTAGTGGAAGCCTCGGTGGCTGAATTGGTTAGATTGCTGACTTTTGTGTACTAGCGATTTGGTGCCTCACTTTGAGAGTGTGGGTTCGAATCCTGTATTGGATTCAACCCAAAAAGTACTAGAATCTGTACATTACTAAAAAAGTGTCATCCCAAATATAACATTTGTTACATTTTGACCACTTTCTTAATGGCACTGTGTATTCAAAACTTTAACTAGACTCTGGCTTCAGGATAGCAGCTGGCGTCACAGGATATGGCAAAGCACATCTGTGACTTTAGCCACTAGTCCAAAGCCCAAGTCTTGTCATATTTCTTTCGGTTGAGTAAGCTAAAAGTCAATACATTAACAATAAGACCTACTGAAAGTGACGTCGAATGACAGGTTCAGGCAAGTACTCAAAATGATTTTGGCACTCACAGTAAGACAATCACCTGTTGTAGGGGTTCGACTGAAGAGGGCAGGGTTCAACTGGCCACAGGATTTTGTATCCTATACACATATCAACTGAGAATGGAATAATTTTTTTATTTGAAGTTTACAGGATATATGGCTTTTCCATTGGACGAGAGGTAAGTCACTTGACCGCAAAATTGACGTTCATAAGTGTATGAACGACACAATTTGACGTTCATACGTTTTTCACAAGACTGTGTTCTTGAAATGACATAAACACTGATGGACTACTTCCACATTCCTGGGGAAACCCCTGGGAATTCCCTAGCACGAAAACATACATAAGTGTTCTTTCTGACCTTTTTGAACCTTTATTCTTGGTCTCAGCGTTTCAGTATACATTGAGAAATGTCAGAGAGCGTGACTGCATGATTGTTCACGAATATCCTCGCTACGGCCCATCCTAATGAGCAAACGAAGAAATGCACATCCAAACTATCGTAGTATCGACTCGATCCGTGTCTAGGCTGACAGTGACCGTCTCCAGCAATCTACGAATTTACCTTAGTGTCTGTTTGAGGCATCTTTATTCACCTTTCAATGATCGGCCAGTTGAACAATGATGACTAACACATGTAACCGCCACAGGTTCATTAACAACTTCGGAAATCTCACCCGTCACTTTTATCATGTCGGCCATTTTGACGTCTTGTACTTGATGTAAATGTATTATGACGCGCTGTCATTGTGACTGACTTACTGAGGTAGTTCTTTACAGACCTTTCTCATCTAATGGTAATATTATTTGAACACATGTGTTGTTTAAGATGTTTCTGAAGAGCAAGTTATGCATCCATATGCTCATGTCACCTCTCTTTTTGAGGAACTATTTTATTCCGCGATATAGCTGGTTTTTGTATGGCTGTCAGTGTAAACATGAAGTCACACGTACTAAATAAAATTGTGTTTAGATCCTTTGAGGTGAGAAATTGTGATAAATTTTTTTATAAGAAGTGACTTTCACTTTGTCTCTGACGTTCATACAGTTTGGCCCTCACTCTATGAAGGTTCATACTCCAATGAACTCACACAAAGTGAAGGTCAATTCTTAAATAATTTACATTGCTAAACATGTTACTGTTTGAATCAGTAGAACTCAAACTTGTAGATTGCATGTGACATACAACTGGCACTTGTATTCTGGTATGAAATACACTCAAAGTTCAAAGTGTCAGAGTTCAAACCAATTTATTGAAGGCTTAACTCTTCTGAGCATGTGAAATTATATGAAATCAGTAAAATCTTTGCAAATCATGTGAAGTGTGCCATATATCGCCGGCCTTGGATCTCTCTGTTCATGTCACTTTATCTGAGAGTGTCTCTTTAATCAAGTCCTCTAGTTGACCAGAATGTCCCTTTAACCAAGACATGCAACATGTGTGTCACCATGACAACATCAGAATAGTAAACCATACACTTGTCAATGTGAGCATCATGTCTGATCACCATGACAACACTGAAGAAGTAAAACACACCTGTCAACGTGAGCATCATAACTGATCACCATGACAACATTGAAAAGTAAAACAATCGCCTGTCATAACTGACATTCATGACAATGTCGAAGACATACAACACTTACCTGTCAACACGAGGGTCGTATCTGATTACCAGGACAATTTCTGAGAAGTAAAACACTGCCACGCCAGCCATCAACCAGAGTATATTCATGATGCTAAATACAGAATCCTTCCGACGGTATTTGCCAAACTTCGCCTCAAATTTCTTCTGAGTCGCTGGGTCAATCTGACTGGAGAGTTTGCCAACATTGTTACCACTGTATCGGTCAGGGTCCTCGAGTGCATCTGCAACATAACATTGCAAGAAAATTGCAGCAATCATAGGTACAGAAGATCACCTTCACTGAAAGACTCATTTTAATACAATATTACAACAGTGTGGATGTGAGTAAATAATTCTGTGGAAAGGAACTTAAAGTTTTAAAATAACAATATTAATCAGATACTGTCGAAACCCCGTTATCTTGACCCTATTCTCAAGTACTGACCAATCTCATTAAAATCAGATCTTAGTTCTCGCTACCGCTAAGCAAAGATCTGAGGATCCCATTAGGGGTCACGTCAGAACGACCTTTCATCCGACCAATCAGAGCGTCGCTTACTAGATCATGAAAGTAACAGTGGGAATGTGATTTCTAATCATTCAACCTCGAAAACTTTAACACAGGGAATTCCGAACGATTAATGACTGAATCCATACAATCTAGACCATCTATTAGCCATTCCAGAATGATCTTTCGTTCAGGTTTCAAGTTTTAATCGAGAATTTGTCAAAATATGTTTCTAAATGTAGTCTCCAATTTACATTTGTGCCGTAAATCACTAAAAAGCTGCCTTCTGATTGGCTAATGTCGACTTCTTGTCAGTCATTCCATTGGATGGTCAAAGTTTGCACAAGGTCGGTTTGAGGGGACCAATAATGGGATGTCCTCAGATCTTTGTTCAGCAGTAGCGAGAACTAAGATCTGGTTTTAATGAGATTGCAGTACAGACCGCCTTACTATATAATGTGCATGGCTCGTTATCTCGAATGTCTGGATATCTCAAAGTTGCAAGGAAATTCTGAGTACAGCCTGATATACACAGTTTGATGGTAAACCCATCGCGAGGGTCCCCATCAGCCACTCTAAATACAATCAGCCATTTCAGATAAAAACAGCCCCATGACGTGAGTCGTAGCCTTTGTTAGCCTGGTCTAACTTTGACATGCCGATCTCGCTAGCACATGAGCGTCACATGATGTAAACATCCTAGCTTGTAGCAGCCATGAACGCCTTGTCAGACAGAAAAGCAACAGAAAACTGATAGTGGTATGTGATAATAAATGGCAATAGATCACTAAAATATACGTTTCGAAAAGTCTATAAAAAATTAAACACAGATGAACAATTAACACCCAAAACCTGCATCTACGTGTGTGTGGCCACAACTAACCCCATCTCATACACTCACAGCCGTCTTCTTCGTGGTTACAGAAAGAGGCGAAGTTTATGGATGGCTTATCAGCATGATTATCATTATGTCATTTGTATCAAACTCAAAGTGAAGCTATGGCAGCAATGGGTCCAGGGCATTTAACATTTAAACAATTGAGATGTTGTATACTGGATCAGCGAGGCTGACATGGTTAATACAGATTGATATGTGACATTATATATACACAAATGATTCCAGCCTTGTGTAACGTAACACTGATGTCACAACAGCTGCATTATGAATGTTTGTGATATTAAGTGCTTAAATTTTGTAGATTTCCAGCTCATGTAACTGTAGCAGGGTGTGGAGTCATCCAACAGATGACATCCTTACCTTGTCAGCTTGCTGACGGGGTTAACCTCTTTGTTCATGTGGACAAGGCGTCCAACCTCTGATCAGAAGGTCTGTGGTTCAAATCCCATCAAGGGACTCGGAAATGTTATGGCCGTTACATTGGTGCCCAACATGGGGCTGAGCACGTTCATATCAAATTTGAGCAAAATAAGCCTCAGTACCCTACAATGCAGCCCGGGACGTGCCTTCTGTTGACGGGGTAGTATGTAGCAGGGTGTGGATTCATCTGACAGATGACATCCTTACCTTGTCAGCTTGCTGACGGGGTTAACCTCTTTGGTCATGTGGACAAGGCGTCCGACCTCTGATCAGAAGGCCAGGATCCTATTACGGGACAAGGAAATTTTATGGCCAACCCTTAAACATAACCAACCCTATAGATACTAATAAATACTCTGTTGGAAATTAAGGGAATCCTGGTAGGGCTTGTATGGGTAACTCCGGTACTTGGGTCATGCTGGGTCCAGAGAAGGACCTGGGTACCCACAGGACTACCCAGACCCATGCTAGTCATGTGATACATTACATAATGACAATAACAATAAAACTCAATACTTACACATCAAGTCATTTATGTTCACATTTCTTTTATGACTGTGTATGCATTCCTTCCAACATGTACATGTTTGAGTAAAGATATAGCTTCAGTCAACTTCAGTGTATTCATGATCTGATCATTTTATTCATGTATCTAAACAGTTTTTTGGCCAGGGTTCTGGTAAAACAATTCCCAATCAGACAATCTCTATCCAACTCAAGAGCCCTACAGTGGGCACCTGGGTAGTAAAGTTGTACTTGTCTCGACCCTAGGTCCTGAGGTCCATGAGGCTTCCTCCCAATTCCAATAGTCCTAGTATAGTTTCTATTTCAATCTTGGGACCCTCTCAATCTGACATCCAACATTTGCTAGGGTCATGACAACGACACCTTGTACTTCATGCTTTATTATTTCAAACACTGCATATACAATATATCAGAGTCGAGCAGTTTCTTCGGATGAATGGTCTATCTGGATAAATAATTTGTGAAGAAAACATTTTATTGCGTGGATCTTATAGAAATAGGTGCCGCTCGAAAACTGGACAACTTGAATTAATCGACAACTATTTACGTGTCATGGTCAATGAGGTTTAACTTCGGGGAAATGAGACATTGTGTTTTTCCTGTGTACATATCTACCTGGGTCAATTTGCTTCAGAAACTGTCCAGCGATTCTAGCCTGAACTTTTCTTTGAAACACTTCCCTGGAATCGTCTGACGTCGCCATTTTGATACAACTTGGATACGGTATTTATTCACAGTATATATTCTCCAAAGTGTACAAGCCGCCTTCAAACGAACAAGAACGAGAATATTACATTTTGGATTTGTTTATGTTATAAGAATTATAATAGCATATCAAAGAAGTGCTCATCTGTCAACTCATAATGAATGCCTACCAATAAATAAATATAAGAATTAATGCTAAGGGAGAGTGAAAAAAAATAAAAAAATGTCTTTTATTTTCTATATAGAAAAATCTACCATATCACCAGAAAGTCATTTTATATGTTGTGCTTTTGTCATGGGTGTGCGCGTGTGCGTGCGTGCGTGCGTGCGTGCATGTATGTATGTATGTATGTAAGGCGCGGTAAGTAAACAAAATGTTTGCCAAATTCAGATAACCGAACACATTACCTGTAATCGAAGACATAATTTGGAAAGTTTAATGACTAAATAAAAATGTTACAACCAATTTAGTCAAATTATGCATTTTTCCTTCAATTTATGCAATTTCGACCCCCTGAAAAATCTCGCACACACTTGCAAGCTTACTACCCAATGAAAATTGTGTAAAGATACCTCCTTTATGCAAAAGAAAAGGTTTAAGGTATACAGGAAAATGTGGGAACGAAAATCTTGTTTTTCACCCCTGGCCAACTGACTATAGGTGGAGAGTAGCTTATCAAGACGTAGCTATTGGAAATCTAAATGTAAGCGAACATGTAACAGTACATGTTTTGTTGACACGTTAACAACAGACACGGACCAATGACAGGCAGGCCGTACAATCTACAACAGGGATGTCACAGAAATATCACTCCAATGTTCTGGACATAAGGCTATGTAAGTGTAGAACAGCCTGATCACAATGCTAAAACACAGATCTCCTCAAGACTGATGCAGCAAGAAAACAACAATATCGAACCAACCCATCGGCGACAATGTACACACTAACATCCGGGTCAACCTGTACATTAACCAAAGATCATAATACATCACTGAAAGAGTGAGTGAGTGAGTTGGGTTTAACGCCGCTTTTAACAGTATTCCAGTTATATCGCGGCGTGTCAGCTTAATGTGGGAGGAAAGCCCGAAGTGATGCAGGTCTAAGACGTTTACCACTTCGGTGAAACCCACGAGCACGGGTATGGTGCTGACAAACCTAGAAACATAATTGGGGGGAACCGGGATTCGAACCCACAATCATAGGTTTCTGGCGTGCCCAAGGGACGCAACACTGCACAGCGAATCGCGGCGCCTTAGACGACTGGGCCACCCGTGCCCCCCCCCCCCCCCCCCCCCCCCATCACTGAAAGAAGGACAAACTATTATCACTATAGTATTTTTTTTTGCAGTTGATTTTATTTTACTTTATGTTTGTCACAATTTTAAAGTTTTGTTTGTGTGATGTTCAACGCCGCAATCGTCCAGCTATCATATGACGGCTATCTGTAAATAATCGAGTCTGGACCAGACAATCCAGAGACTGACATCATGAGCATCAATGTACACATTTGGAATACGATGACATGCATCAACCATGTCATCGAGCCTGGCCCGGATGCCGTTTATACTCGTCTCTTACTAGACGACTTGCATATTTTTTTTGTGACGCAGTAGCTGCCACTGTCGATTGAATAGTTCCTATGTTGAAGGTTATCAGACACCCTTTATAACCTTGTATTTCCGGTTAGTCTTGGGGACCGCCTCCCTGGTCTGGTGGTAGAGCATCCGCCCGGAGAACGGAAGGTCCGGGGTTCGATTCCCGGTCGTGTTATACCAAAAGACGTTAAAAGATGCTACTTGTTGTATCCCTGCCTGGTGCTCGACATTAACGGCCTAAAACAAGGACTGGTCGGCTTGGAGTCAGTATACTGTGTCTGAGTGGGATATTCGAGTGAAACTGCGGCATGGTATCTCAGTGGGCTAGCACTATGAAATCGGCATTTGTCCGGATTGTACAAGGACACACGCGCGCGCATGCACGTCGCTTTATTAGTGCAATAATCTTGAACGCGACGTTAAACTCCATTTCCCCTCACCTCTTGCCTTGTGGATAGTTTTACCACTGAGATTGTTTGCAGTGTGTAACATTCTGTGACGTGTTGTCAAAACAAGCGTTGAGCGAGAAACTTGCAATATTCAAATCAGACATGGAGGCGATTCAAGTTAACTCAAGCTATTCAGACATAAATGGTATGAAATAAGTGCTATGTGGAAATGTGGTGACAAAAGTAGAATAAATGTTACCAATGAATACAATAAATGCTGCAGCTGGGCGTGGGGCCATCCCACAGATGACATCCTTACTTTGTCAGCTTGCTGACGGAGTTAACCTCTTTGGGTCATGTGGACAAGGCGTCCGACCTCTGATCAGAAGGTCCGAGGTTCGAATCCCATCACTGTGCTCGGAAATTTTATGACCGCTAAAATACTACTCCATAAATCATTTTATCTTTTTGTAAATAGGAGGTGCTGCTTAGCCTTCAGTAGCCGTTTTCACGAAAACGGTGACGTTCTGCTGTGATGCCGTTTTAGCATGATGGTTGCTCTACAACACCTCTAAGGGTGAAAAGTTCCAAATAATTAATAAATTGATAATAATTGAATATATATCTTTTGACACTTTGCCGTTTTTTGACAACTTCCTCGAGATACTACGTGGCACCGCATGTGTCACTCAATATCTGCTGTCGTGGTGTAACGGATCAACTCTCGACCGCGTTAAAGGAAAGGCCGTTACATTATGCATTATGTACACCGAGTTAACACATCAAGTCAGTCACACTGTGGGGAGAGAGAACGCTGTGTGAATGAGAATGGTTAGAGTGGGGGATGGGGGTGTTATATGGTGTCGGGGGGATCAACCCTTGAGACCTTCAAACAACGCCAGATCAGGATCGATTATATTTCACCCCATGCCCTGAAATATCTTCAAACTTCGTTACATTCAACTTTCACACGAGTCTTCTAGAGCTCTTCTTTCGAGAACTTTGCTTTTTGTAACAACATAAATCTCCCCAGAGTGAGGAACGCATTGAATTTTTGAACTCTCAGTACTTAATGACCGTAAACAATGGTAAACAGTTATGTTTAATGTAAGTTTATGAGTGTGCTTGGTCATGATCTCTCCGCTCCGATACTCGTGTATTCTAGGGCAGTGGTTGGGGGCATCTAATTCCAAACACGCATCCACACTTAGAACAGAACTAAAACTTTTACGAGGGCTGGCAAAAAAGTTCTAAGCCTGACGAACTTTCAACTATATGGGCCATAACAAAGTGAACTAGTCAATGTAGTACAATGAGTTTTGCAACAGAACTGGATTTAGAGTTCAGGGCCCCGTTCCACAAAGTGATCTTAGCGCTAAGATGATCGTAACTCCCATACTTTAACACAGGCTTACGACAGTCGTAACACTAAGATCGCTTTGTGGAACGGGCCCCAGTTTAATATAGTCCTCATTTGCTTGTTTCAAAGTTCAATTTAGTTCAGCTTGAGAAGGCGACCAGCAGCATCGAGGATCTGAACTGAGGGTTTGCTCCCACAGCAGAGGCGACCGAAGAGCATCTTCCCGAGGCAAGGGAGTTAACTGACGGTAAAATTCCAGTTTCCACCCTTGCCGAACTTGGCTTGGCTCAATCGTAGCAACATCTGTGGCTATTACGAGTTATGTCCCTTCTATGTCCCTCCTATTGACCAATCACATTCCACCTCGCATAGCACTTGCATTTGCTTCAAATAAAATGGCGGCGCCCAGTGAAGACGATCTGATCGATAATCAAGATCTGTATTGTAATTAAACGGGCCTTACTTCGCAAAGTGCATCAAATCACCTGTGCACCTTGCATAAAAACATGAAAAGATTAGGAAAATACTTGTCGACGCCCAGTTGAGGGTACACATGCCTTGCAAATACTGAAATCGACCGAATCTGCACGGCAGTGTATGAATCGGATGTCGAGTTCGTTTCGCGATTTTGATTGAATTGATTGATTGGATATGCATAGACTCGTTAGTCCAGCCAACATACAACTCCATCATTCCAGGCTAGTTCGGCAAGGGTGGAAACTGGACTTCTATATTCAGTTTACTTCCTTGCCTCAGGAAACTGGACCTTTATATTCAGTTAACCCCCTTGCCTCGGGAAACTGGACTTTTATATTCAGTTAACTCCCTTGCCTCGGGAAACTGGACTTTTATATTCAGTTAACTCCCTTGCCTCGGGAAGATAATCAAAGAGTGGCATGATGCGCTGGTCCAGTTGTCGATATAGACTCACCATGATCCAATTGCAGCCTCTTGGCCCTGTCTGAAGACCCAACCTTCTTGATTTGCCACAGGAAATAGTAAATGTTTGAGTGTGCTCTAGCTATTCGGGTTTTTTCAGACGTACATGAAAGCGTCCAAGATGGTTGTTGGTTCGAGGACAAAGCGTGCCATGGAGGTTCCAGATCCAAGCAGGGAACCGGACGCTGTAGTCTACCCAAGTGGTTGTCATGTTATAGTTCAAGAGGGACATCTGCTGGTGTTCTGGACTCGCGTTCATGATCTCGACAGGCAGACAGACAGACAGACAGACACAGAGACTTGTATAAAAAGGCCTCCGGGCCAACATACAATCATTATCCTGTACACTTCTTTCGGTATATACTCGATTGGCATCCCCCTGCAAGGGAGTATCGGTATTTCATGGGTCTTTTACAAACAGGGGGGACATCTCATCTGTGGCCATGACATTGTGATTATATAAGTATTTAACAATCGGTAACTGGCGGTTTATTTCTAACATCCTGTTCTGGTAATAAACATCAGCTTCCCTTGGTCCTGTTCCACACAATAATGCCCATGCTTGCCGTAAGAGGCCACCATGCTTGCCGTAATGGGCGACCATGCTTGTCGTAAGAGGCGACTATAACGAGATGAGGTGGTCAGGCTCACCGACTTGGACGATGCATGTCATCGTATCCCATTTGCGTAGGTCGATGCTCATGATGTCAGTCACTTGATTGTCTGGTCCAGATTCGATTATTTACAGACTGCCGTCATATGGGTGGAATATTGCTGAGTGTGGCGTCAAACAACAAACAAACAAACAAAACACTGCCTGTCAGGGATTATAATCCCCTGAGTTAACAACTGAAACATAACATCTTCAGCGTTGTTGCTAAGGTGACATACGTTGTGGACACGGTAATCAAATAGATGAGCAGAAATAAAAAGAGATAATCGTTGAAATTGAATGTAGAGTCATGTTGTTTTTCTTCATTTTTAGGGGCTGAGATATTTTTTCTTCTGAAAAGAGGGCTGAGATTTGTTTAGGACACATTTCAAATTCAACCTAGGGAAAGAATGTTAAACTTTTCTCACTGTTCACTAAACATAATAACTGTACAGATGTAGGTGGTTTTGTAAATGAAAGTAGCAGTATAATATAGCATTTTATAAAATAATAAATAAAAGACCATTTTTTTTACAACACCATGTGTAGCAAATCCCATTGAACTTGACATGTTTGTACTCACATCTACTGGAAATGTACTTTTTAATTACTACGATGATGTGAATGATGGACATAAGTAGCATAACTTTTAATGTCAACTGACGAAAAAAGGAAACTGAAAGTTGGACACGTTGGGTCCAAAACCCCGAATAGTGTTACAATATGGTTGAGAATCAATCACACAAACACAACCACAACCACAACAGTTTGCTGAGTATAATGCACGTGCTACACTACCCAGATCAGTGGAACTTGAGTTTGAACTGAAACTGTTGCTGCACTTGCAGCATGCCAGCCTACAAAGATATGGATATAGAAGGAACGATGTACTGTTCAATCACACCCAAACCGTTGGACAGTGACAAATAACATACTGAGATTAATGGTACTGAAAGAACAAGCCTTGGTATGATACATCAAAAAGCAACGCACGACCACGTTGCAAGGAGTTTTGGTTGTAGCCGACTGACAGTCACCAGGCTGATAGTCCGTTATAGGCACAGTGGATGGACGGGAGACAGGCGACACTTCTCATTGTCATGGTTAAAAAACGTGATAGCTCTTATGGCTTTGCCGTTGATTAAAGACGTCTCAATGCAGTAACCAAACCCTCTACCCTCTACCCTCTACCCTCTACCACCTCTGCCAATATTTTTAGTGTGCTTGATTGTGCTAGTGGCTTTAGGCAAATAACACTCCATCCAGATGCAAAACACGAGTCGGCCTCAATTACACCCGATGGTATTTTTGGATGGAATAGCCTCCCCTTTGGCCTCAAAAATGGCATTTCTGGAAACCATTTCAGAAGCAATAAAGAAATGAATTGGCGTTCCATACTAAAATATGTAGATGACATAATATTTTCCAAAACGTTTGGAGACATTTGAGTCACCTCAAGGCAGTAATCCAAAAGATCAAAGACGCAGGCCGCACTCTAAAACCAAGAAAATGTAAATTTGCGACAAAACAAGTCACCTACTTAGGGCATATCATCAGCAAAGATGGCATTCATGTCGATCCTTCAAAAATAGATTCAGTCACACCGATCCCACCGTCTGAAAATGTCCATGATGTGTGTCATTTCTTAGATTTGACCTTGTGTTTGTTGCAAACCTTCCTGGCATCGACTCCCCTCCATACAACTGTCTTTCGATTCGAAAAGCTGAAGCAAGCCCTTACAACAGCCCCCATCCTTGTATATCCCGACGAAAACAAACCTTTCATCCTCACAACTGATGCATCTCAAACTGCAATAGGGTACATTGTAGGTCAACTTAAATTCTCATGGTGTAACTAGGAATGATGTTGTTAATTTATGTCTTTTGACCATACAATTATCTTCCTGTTCTGTGTTTAGGAACAAACAATGTTGATTGGTAACGTTTCTTTTGCGCGTCAGTTTCAAAGTAAGGGTATATGATGCTCACAGAAAACAACTGTTATGGCTTCTTGAAATGGAAGATTTGAAATGATTATTAATAAATAAGGGTTACAGGTATTATCTCTCATGGTCATGTCATTCTGTCAGATATTATGGCTTTGCTCAGGAAATAATCTGTATTTATGTGGATGGCCATATTGTGGTCGAAACTTTTTATTGAGGATGAGTTCTTTCAAGCAGAGGAAGGCTGAGTTTTTTTATTTATACAAAATTATCACATGTTTATTTTCCCAAAGAAAACGTTTTATGTAATAATATGTGTGTATATATAACACACGATATATTTCTGGTGATACTGAATGCTGCTTTGAGCGCACTAATGAAAAGATAAAAGATTGCAGGTTCTTCTAGACGTTTACTGGCGCTAGACAATAGCTTTGCCGAACTATTTGATTTTGTATGCGTTTGCTCACCAGTGTTCTCGTTCTCGGAAATTAACTGTTCGAATTTGAACATCCAACAATTCAAAGAACGGTCAATAATAACCATTTTAAAAATAATTTGGGATGTAAAAGACACCAGTAATAAATAACATTAAAATTAATACTTTTCCAACACGAATAAAAAGAATTACCGTTTCCTGTAATCAAATTACCCTTTGTTAGTATCGCGCAAACGCATCTTGCCGAACTGTTTGATTGTTTGGAAATAGCTCAAACGTGATTGGTCGATACATCGGAAGCGCTTTCTTCGAAAGCTTGGAAAGGCCGACGACAACAACTCAGGTTAGAATCTATCATCGTGTTGTGTGCATATGGAATGAAAAATTTTATTCCCGTGGCCACGCCGCATGTTGCATTCCGAAGGGTCACGGAATATCGGAATATACTGCAAAAATAGCCCTAACAGTTTCAGACGCTTTGAGAGTGCTGGCTTCTCTCCCCGTGGCGGTGATCCTGTCCATGTTGTTTATGGACGAGTCTCACACTGCTTCATCAGCTTACAAGAGTCTTTTGTTCCATTGACACTGACTGAGTGGAGTCGTATGGACCTGACATATCGTTTAAATTGAGCACTATATTTCGGTATGATATCACAAAATTCAATATTTGTAAACACTGCCAATATTCAGATCAATGGTAGGCCTAGATGTAAGCAGTTTATCTGATAATGGTTGAAGGCCTAGTTGTGAACAGTGGTACTGTTGACAACAGTTAGCCTAAGTACTGCCTCCATTTCCTACAGTTTGGGATTTTTGTCTTCAAGACTAAGATTCTCCCTGCCAAATAAGGTTGAACTATGAGTATATATAACACTTAAATGCCAAAGGGCACACTTGGCAAAAGAACATTTCAATCTATATAGATTGAACAACAATAAGATGAACAATTGCCAAATATATCTATAATCCAACACTAACTATGTACATGTCAAAGGGAATCCAAGGCAAGCTAGATTCATGAAGTGTGAATCATTGGCAACTAACTCTTGCCTAATACAAGCTTGTAAACAGACACACTCAGTACACATGCATTTACCTGATGATAAAATATTTTGTATTTACGTTTATTTCATTTACTTACAAAAGCATTTAAATCAAGCTGTTGAACCCGCTGTTGTTTTAGCACGGCAACAAAGCTCATGCACATCCCTTACCAAAATGGCAGAAGGTGCGGGTATACTGCATTCTTGCTGACACACTCAACATAAGGAGGACTCTTATAAGAAACGGGTACCATTGAGCCTGATTGTTTATGCAAATAGATATTGAAGTAAACATGGAGTTAGTTACAGGAGAATCCTACATCATGCGAACATGCCGATAATATTTAGCCCCACACTTCGCTGTGCAGAGTTGCGTCCCTTTCCAGAAACCTGTGAATGTGGGTTTCGAATCCCACTTCACCCCAATTATGTTAGTAAGGTTTGTCAGCACCATATCCGTGCTTGTGGGTTTCACCAAAGTTCTAAATGTCTTGAGACCTGCATCACTTCAGGCTTTCCTCCCACATTAAACTAACATGATATTACTGGAAATACTGTTAAAAGTAGCACGATAAGGTTTAGGGTAATACTGTATCGTTGTGTATGGTAAATTTCAGAACCTGTAGTCTGCAAAATACCTTGATTCACATGATGACTGTCTCTACTGAACAAAACTTCTGTCAGACTATCACAGGTTTTCTACAGTTTTATTCATTACCTATGCAGTGAATATGAAGTACAGATTAGGGATCAGACGGGTTACTGGTGGGTACTGACTAGGACCCGCGTACCCACAGGACTACCAAGACCCATGGTTAGTCACATGATATATTGTTTAATGACTGGAACTATCTGGAAGTCTGTGAATACACTGCAGGTCATAAATGTTTGCATTTCTTTATGACTATTCACCCATTCCTGGCTTACGACTTACATAGTTTTTAATCAAACAATTCCCAATAGGACATCTCTTGAGACCTACAACAGGTACCCGGGTAGGGTTGGGTGGGGTAATAGGGGTTTGGATACCTGGGTACTAAATTTGGACTCGTCCCAGCTCCAGTACAGATATAAATAGAACAATAAATTGTCATTAGCAGGATATTGGCCAGAGATCATAAGTTTCTGTGAGTGCTGTTATTTAATCTACCATATAAACGCTGATATCATACACAATGGTAAAGTAATTAATGTTTTGGTAAATTCTGATATCTTTTCTTATTTCAGAGATAGTTTTGCTTGCAATGGCTGCACTTAGGTTTCAAATTCATGTTGACAAAGAAAATGCCAGCTCACTTGGTGTAAACCCTAAACTCCGCAATGGGAGCACTTCAGGAATACGTAAGTTTGGCTTCAACATTTGTTCACTCTCTTACAGTACATGCCTTCTAGTTCTTTTCAGGGTCACAGATGGCCCAGTCGTCTAAGGTGATGGAATTCGCTGTGCCCCTTCGGCAAACCAGTAACCTATGATCATGTGTTTGAATCCTGGTTTGCCACAATTTTGTTTCTAGATTTGTCCGCACCATACCTGTGTTCGTTGGTTTCACCAAAGTTGTGAACGTCAGCAACCTGCATCACTTCAAGGTTTCCTCGCACATTCTGCTGACACGCTGTGATATAACTGGAATACTGTTAAAAGCGGCATTAAACCCAGCTCACTCACTCAGGATAGTTCTTTTCATGTCTATTTTATCATGGATATGCATTTGTTATTTTTGTAAGAAATAATAATGGTAATCTCAATGTCGCTGTTTCTGAAAATGTCTTCAGCACCTATTTTTGTCATAAGAGCGGAATGAAATGTCACAATGGGTGACCTGACTTAATACGAGTTATTGTACCCTGATGGTATGAGTTGTTGCTCCTTGTTTCAAATAGTGGTTGCCCTGGGCAAGACTAAATTACAGACTGCCTAAATATAGCTGGAATACTGCTGACTGGAGCATATAACAGTCACACTTTGGAACCCTATATGCAGTGTTAGCTTGATTTCAGCTAGCTTTGGCCTGGGAGCATTCATGTCAATAATTGTGGCTATTTTAATAGGTTATACTATTTTCTTGATTATATTTATTGGAAGTGATATTTTTCATTGTAATCATGGTAATAATCCAGATTGAAATGATAAGTTTCATGTTGAAGTTTGTCATTGATGTATTGGTCGTGTTTCTGTCAGGAGGGAAAGTCTTCCAGGAGTCCATCACCCCGGGTCTGACGAAGCCACGGAAAGCCCTCGGAGACGTCAACACACCGGCTAGTTCTCGGCCTCGCAAGGCTCTAGGAGATGTGAATGGGACAAGTGGAGGAATCCTGAAGCCTGTGAAGGGGAAGTCTGGAGGGTTGAAACCGCTCTCGCTGAACCCTCAGAGTTTCAAGAAGCCAGAAGGGAAAAGGTCACAGGTACGGACTATTGGTTATTATATCAGTGGCATTTACAGCTGTACCTCCCCATGGGGATTCCAGCTTAGAATATCTCCCCAGCCGCCTTTGTAGTCTGTAAGAACAAACTAATGGTTTGCGTGGTCACTCTTGGTGACTTAGTTGATTGCATATCATGGTACACCCACCGATGGTATGGATCATTGCTCATCATATTAATCACTGGTTTGTCTGGCACAGACTGCCATCATATGGGTGAGTGTGCAGCTTTAACAACAAACAAAACAAAGTTATGCTTCAGTCTCATTTTTTTAGAACAGCTGTTTATCAGATACTTATGTCTGGTCAATAATACTGCATTATATCAGCCTTTGGTCTGTCCCAGTAAGATGATACTTTTTCCACAGCTTTTGATATTTTTGGATCCTTCAGGAAAAAGGACTAAGGAAACAAGAGCCAAAGATATCTGTGCCCGTGTTACAGACAGCCCGCAGTTGCCAGCCTGCGTCTTCACTGTGTGAGGACATAGAGCAGATGCACGTTGAGAAGGAGCCAGGTAAAGTAGATGGCTGACTCAAACTGCCTTAAACGGATAGTTCCAACATTTGACTTGTTTCTGGATAACCTTGTCAAATAGAGACCTTTCTATCTCAGTTAACTGTACAGGCAGTGGAAACCAGAAATAAATAATACAAATATGACTTTTCCACACTGTAACTGTGATGACTTGTTTCTTGCTAAGTTGTTCCTTGTGTAGATGATGATGAGGATGTGTGGCCGGCGCGGGAGCGGATCAGTACGTACATCGACAAGTTGATCAGCTGGCGTCCACCCTGTCTGTACAATACGTGGAGTGATAGTGATGATGAAGAGGATGACAGGAAGATTCAGGAGATGATGGGCCAGCTGGATGCCCTCCCAACACCCAAAATCGCTGCAGGTAACATAATACTCTATCTTCCTAAAGCAGGTCTTGCATAACCCCATCTCATCTAACCCAGTGATGTAGATACACACACCCAACTCACACACATTCACCAAGTAATGCAGAACCCCAATGTCATTCAACCCAGTAATACTGAGTCCCAGCTCCTCACACCAAGTAATGTAGAGCCTCAGCTGCTCACACCAAGTAATGTAGAGCCTCAGCTCCTCACACCAAGTAATGTAGAGCCCCAACTCCTCACACCAAGTAATGTAGAGCCCCAGCTCCTCACACCAAGTAATGTAGAGCCCCAGCTCCTCACACCAAGTAATGTAGAGCCTCAGCTCCTCACACCAAGTAATGTAGAGCCTCAGCTGCTCACACCAAGTAATGTAGAGTCCCAGCTCCTCACATCAAGTAATGTAGAGCCCCAGCTCCTCACACCAAGTAATGTAGAGCCTCAGCTCCTCACACCAAGTGATGTAGAGCCCCAGCTCCTCACACCAAGTAATGTAGAGCCTCAGCTCCTCACATCAAGTAATGTAGAGCCCCAGCTCCTCACACCAAGTAATGTAGAGCCCCAGCTCCTCACATCAAGCAATGTAGACTCCCAGCTCCTCACACCAAGTAATGTAGACTCCCAGCTCCTCACATCAAGTAATGTAGACTCCCAGCTCCTCACACCAAGTAATGTAGTGCCCCAGCTCCTCACATCAAGTAATGTAGAGCCCCGGTTCCTCACATCAAGTAATGTAGAGCCCCAGCTCCTCACATCAAGTAATGTAGACTCCCAGCTCCTCACACCAAGTAATGTAGACTCCCAGCTCCTCACAACAAGTAATGTAGTGCCCCAGCTCCTCACACCAAGTAATGTAGTGCCCCAGCTCCTCACATCAAGTAATGTAGACTCCCAGCTCCTCACACCAAGTAATGTAGACTCCCAGCTCCTCACACCAAGTAATGTAGACTCCCAGCACCTCACACCAAGTAATGTAGACTCCCAGCTCCTCACATCAAGTAATGTAGAGCCCCGGTTCCTCACATCAAGTAATGTAGAGCCCCAGCTCCTCACATCAAGTAATGTAGACTCCCAGCTCCTCACATCAAGTAATGTAGACTCCCAGCTCCTCACACCAAGTAATGTAGAGCCTCAGCTCCTCACACCAAGTAATGTAGAGCCTCAGCTCCTCACATCAAGTAATGTAGAGCCCCAACTCTCACACTAAGTAATGTAGAGCCTCAGCTCCTCACACCAAGTAATGTAGGGCCCCGGTTCCTCACACCAAGTAATGTAGCGCCCCAGCTCTCACACTAAGTAATGTAGAGCCTCAGCTCCTCACACCAAGTAATGTAGAGCCTCAGCTCCTCACACCAAGTAATGTAGAGCCCCAACTCTCACACTAAGTAATGTAGAGCCTCAGCTCCTCACACCAAGTAATGTAGAGCCCCAGCTCCTCACACCAAGTAAGGTGGAGACCCAGCTCCTCACACCCAAGTAATGTACATCCCTAGCTTGTCACGCCGAGTTATGCTGAACCCCAGATCATTCAAGCCAGTAATGTAGAAGTACTAAAACCCATAACCCAATTACCAACTGTATTATAGTCATCCAACCCAGTAATGTTGCTATCCCTCTTCCCCATACAAGTAATGTTGAACACTGCTTTGAATTGCAACTGGTTTTGCATCAAGACTTTTCTTCCTTCACAGCTCAATATTAACGATTATGACATGCTACAGACATAGTGGCTGATTATTGAAATATTACTGTTACAGTTGAAGACACTATAGTGCATGTGGAATCTCTGACTGTGCCCCTGCCAGAAGTGGATGTACCATTCGCCGATATATCTTTACTGGACTCCAGTCAGAACACTTCTCTGCCATCTCTAGAAGACTCCTACAGTATTGTGCCCAATCCTGGCACCTTGCAACTCAAAGACATCTGAACATAATGTGCCAAATATCTCCGCCAGATCCATCGATCATTGTTCACACCATCATCCCATCCTCACTGTGTCATCTTGCCCTCTGAAGCCATGAACATACTGCCCTCTCATCTATCATCGTTCGCAAAGTACATTCCCTAGGCCCCTTGGTGATGTACTTCATACTTCGCAGACCTTGCCGTAAGTCAGTATTCCAGATAGGAGCTTCTCTGTCCGGGTTGATGGTGCCAGCCATGTGAGGCGGGTATGCCGGACATCTAGTCGAGACTGGTACAGCAAGATCATGACAGAGAGATGACATGACAGCAAGAGCTGCATCAGGGCATGTGGCAGTCAGTTTCTTGTATGTAATGGTTTCTCAGAAGTTTGCTGTCTGGATACTTTGGTTTTATTCAACTGTAAATAAATGTAGGCTTTGTGTAAATAAACATGTTTTACGTTATATTTGATATTGCTAGTGTTAACCTGCTCAAAAACACACCCAATTTACATGTTCATTGAATTTGAAAACACAAACACCACACACAGACAACTTGTTGGTTATGTTATAAGTCATTCTGAGATGATTAAATTTGGCCTTTGTCTTTTGTGTTATATCTTTACTGGAGGCTAAAATAGCCAACACGTAAGGTTGATAGCTTCAGCCAACTGCAGTTTTAGGCTCTTGTTTTGACTGTTGGTTGCACAGCTCTCACCATGGACTTACCCAGACGAAACAAGACTAAACAGAAGTCATGTTTGTTGAAACAAAAATTGGTCTCTCCAGTTTTATTTTATATCCAAAGTCCTTACCCTCATGGCCAAGTGATGACATCATTAGGATTCCTGGACAAGTGTTGTCCAGGGTTGAGTGACCGAGAAGAGAGCAGAAAGAAGCATTAATGAGAAATAAAACAACACACACCCTCCTTTTGTTTGATTTTTTTGTTTAACGCCACACTCTGCAATACCAGTATTTCAGCTGGCTATGGCAGGCTGTAAATAAATGAGACTGAACCAGACCATCCAGTGATTGATATTGTGTGCAATGATCCACGCAGTCAGATACGATGACATTCCATCAACAAGTCCGTGTCTGACCACCCAATCCATTAGGTCGACTCTTACAATCAGAGTAGGATGCAACCCATGAAGATCCTGGTAGAGAATAGGTCTTCAGCAACCCATGATTGCCATATAAAAGGCGACTATACTTGTCGAAAGAGGCGACAAGAAGATCGGGTGGTCAGGCTTGCTGACTTGATGAATGCATGTCATCGTATCCCAGATCGATGCTCATGTCAATAAATATAGGATACTGTCTGGTCCAGGCTTGATTATTTCCAGACCGCCGTCATATAGCTGAAATATATTAAGCAAACAAACAAAGAATAGGAACAAATCAACCAGAATCCCCATTGGGCATAAGTATTGGTACTTGACTGAAAATCCCATCGTTGAGATCAAGTTTGGTACAAATCTGTGACAAAGACAAATATGTTAACAAACATTGGTGATACTTATTTCATGAGTGACCTTGATCTACAATGTCAGATAAAGTATATATGGTGATGAACCAATACAGGTGTTCATGAGTATGGTTTACGCTGCTTTTAGCAATATTCCGGCAATAACATGGCGGGGGACACCAGAAATGGCTTCACACATTGTACCCATGTCGAGAATCGAACCCAGGTCTTTGGTGTGACGAGTGAACGCTTTAACCACTAGGCTACTGGACCGCTCCAAGTGTTCATGAAGGTTTGTGGTCACTGATTGAAAACATGCTCTTTTCTTATCAATTAAAATAATCCTGAGTTTTGTGACAAGTTTTTTTATGTTATCTTTGATTGAAATCATCCGAAATCAAAGGATCATATCTGGATCCCACGCAAGAGATTTGGTCAAACTTGTCTTAAATTGAAAACTTGTGAAAAAATGGAATGGAACTTCTTACACTTATCATGCTTATGTTATTATGAGCATTACAAAACATCAAAAAAGACAAATATTCCGAATGTCAAACATTAAAATCAGAGTATTGTACCTTTAACAAATCTATGTATAAATTAAACTAAATTTGAAAACAAAAGCATCATCAACATAAATTATTGTATACAGATTCTTACTAATGGACAAGTGGGGCAATGGCCCCATCTGAACCTATTGACCTCAATGAGTTCATTTTACACTATAGTATTTCAACGGTACCAAGGCCACCTACAGGCCAGTAGTTGATCGAATGATTGACGTTCTGGAGCATCAGAGTATATAAACACGACATTGACACAATCTACCAAGTCACAGAGCCCTTCTACTCCAGTCATCTGAGCCTGCATCTACACGGGAACCAGGATATCAGGCTATCACGTCAGTCTGGGCCCAGACCTTTTGAGTCTACTAGCCTGAAGTTGGCTCTTTGCATTTTTCTTGTACATTTTAGTGTAATCCTATCGACTGAACTTAGTAGACCGAACAGAATTTTACTGGATTTGGGCAAAAGTGTGCGAGTCGGTTTAACATCGTATTTAACAGTATTCCAGTTATGTCACAGGGTGTCAGCTTATTGTGGGAGGAAAGCCCAAAGTGATGCAGATCCCAGACGTTAAACCCCCAAGCACGAATATGATGCTGTCAAACCAAGAAACAGAATCGGGCGAACCCATCTTCCGTTCGCAAGGGAGTTAATTGACTACAATTTCTACCCTTGCCGAACTAAGCTGGAATTATTGGATTACTTTGTGGCTGGACTAATGAGTCTATGCATAGTCCAATCAAAAACATGGAGACTGCCATGCAGATTTCAGTTGATTGCAGGATTTGCAGGGCATATGTACTGTCAACTGGGCGTTGACAGATATTTTTCAAATCTTTTCATATTTCTAATCGAGGTGTTCAAATGATTAGATGCACCTAGTGAGGTAAGACCCGTTTTATTAAAATAAAGATCTTGCTTATCGATCAGATTGTCTTGACTGGGTGCCGCCATTTTGTTTAAAGCAAATGCAAGTGGTACGAGAGGTTGAATCTGATTGGTCAATAAAAGGGACATAACTTGTTATAGCCACTGGTTTGGCAACTGGACTTTTACAGTCAGTTAACTCCCTTGCCTTGGGAAGATGGGCAAACTGGAATTCAAACCCACAATCATAGGTTTCTGGCATGCCAAGGGATGCAACTCTGCTCAGTGAATTGCAGCACCTCGGACTACAGGGCCATCCATGCCACCTCAGTCTGTCATACAGATCATGAAACAAATATAGAATACTAAACGAGCTCCCGTGTAATACCAATTTTATGAAACGAGTGAAAAGTTCTAGCATCATACGAGTGAAAGCAAGTCAGATACCACAACTATTCACGAGTTTCATAAAATTGGTTTAACACGGGAGCGAGTTAAGTATTTTATTTATAACTGGCCATTTATAACGTTTTTAGAATTATACTGTTGAGTGTGAATAGGCTGACACCTACACGATCCACGGCATAATCCAACTGAGTTTAACACAGTAATACTTCAAACACGTCAAAAGTTGAAATGTTTGAATTTAATACCATACAACTGTCCACCTTTAGAATTCAGGCGTCCGTTCCACAAAATTATCGTAGCGTTAAGGTTATCGCAACTCACATTCTTTAACTTAGACCAACGACTGTCGTTGCGCTACAGTACGATCGCCTTGTGGAACGGGGCCTTGCACCTCAAAGTTTACAATCACGTCACAGTACCCGATGACGTAATTTGTGGAATTTTGTTGCAAGATCCATCGACGAAACAATGCCATGTGACGTCAGCCTAGCAACAAGGTTGCTGGGGTCATCGAGTGTGCATAAACTCCTCTCAGTGATCTATCATCTCCACCCGCAATGTCGTTGAATAAGCCAAGGGATGTCGAGAGCTTTCAATATTTGTTCGTAAAACGTGTTCCGAGAGTACATAAGCACGCGTTTTGGTATTACACAATGTGTAATAAAGCTGTATGTTTATTAAACGGTTGATCTCTTCACGGGCAAGTAATAAATATCAAATACAGCCTATGCAAGTCAATAATATTTGGCAGGTCTAGATTACTGCAGTTTCAGGCTAAAAATAACGAAAGTCTCTTGGTTCCTTTTTATTATATTTTATTAGAATAACTTAACAAAAAAAGATTTCTGTAAAATATGTTCATTTCAGACACTAGATGTTAATCTAGTGCAACCCTTGTGGCTAAAGTCGCTGATCGTAACATGAACACAAACAAAAAACTTCAATAACTTCCTGTATTCACTGGACAAGTTCTTCAAATATGTCTGACTGAAGAGATCTCTGTAAGTGTCTTGTCCTACAGTGTGTGACACTGGTCTTTGTGCGATACTGTTAGGATTTCTGGTGACACAGGTAGATTTATCACAAATTCTGGTGAATAAATTCCTGTTCAACATTTTGTGACACTGCCTGCGGTTTGTATGACACTGTTTGAAGTTTATATTACTGCATCAAGTTGATATGACACTGTCTGGGGTTTGTATGACAATTAAGTTCAGATCACTGCGTCAAGCGTATATGACACTGTCTGGTGTTTGTATGACAATGAACTTTATATCACTGCATCCAGTGTATATGACACCGTCTGGGGTTTGTATGACACTGTTTGAGGTTTATATCAATGCGTCAAGTTTATATGACACTGTCTGGAATTCTTATCACAAATGCTGGGACTTCCGGTCTCCAACACAAAGTCCTCAGTCCACACTGTCTTCTCCCAAGTCAAGCTGAACAAGATCAGAGTCGATCTGTAAGTGTCTGACAAAGTCTGCCAAAGATGGCCGGGGCTCTGGCAGCATGTTATGTAGATCCGACAGAGCCTGTTGTGTAACTCCGCGCCATTTGTTTATCAGGCCCTGCAGCTGCTGCAGGTTGTTCTGAAACAGGAGTGAGTGAATGAGTGATGGAGAGTTGGGTCTAACTAACAGTATTTCAGTCATCAAAGCATGTTATCTAAAATAGGATAGGAAAGCAAAAAGAGACACAGGTCATGGACATTTAACACCTTGGTGAATCCAACAGCCATGGGGGAGTGAGTGAGTGAGTATAGTTTAACACCGCTTTTAGCAATATTCCAGCAATATCATGGCGGGGGACACCATAAAGGGGCTTCACACATTGTACCTATTTTGGAAATCGAACCCGGGTCTTCGGCGTGACGAGCAAATGCTTTAACCACTAGGCTACCCGACCACCCCCAACAGCCAGGGTATGGTGATAACTGATGAAGAATCGGGGCAATCTAGGATTCAAACCAACACCACTGTTGTCAACTCAGCCACCTCTACCCTACTCTAGATTCTTGGACAACAGAAAGTAAATGAGTGAGTGAGTGAGTATGGTTTTACGCCGCTTTTAGCAATATTCCAGCAATATCACGGCGGGGGACACCAGAAATGGGCAGAAAGTAAATGAGACACAGGAAAGAGCTTGGTTGAAGCTGATATCTAATCCACATCACTGCCTGCTGTCAGTGATTCAGACGGCCTTGTGCTTTAACTATAATAATAGTGAAGAGCTAAACTATACTTTATTAAACTACACAAGGGGCTAGAGCAAATTTGATTTCTTAATGAAATATCTCAATATGTATATCAAAGTTTCAGTAATAAAATTAAAGCATATGTGAGTAAAATCCAAAAGTGAGACAAGGCAACAATGTTATTTAGCACTCCCCCTGTGACTAACATCTGGTAGGTCGTGTAGATATGTGTAAACATGGTGAAGTGTCTCACCTTTGACCTATACATTTTGACCATTTTCAGTTTTCTTAGTTTCTCCTCCGCTGCTGTCAGCTGTAGTGTGAGGTCTCTCTTCTCCCTCCTCAAAGTGGTCATGTTACTGCAACCTTCAGACTGTAGACCTGTTTTGTCACTGCAAGCTACAGACTGTAGACCTGTTTTGTCACTGCAAGCTACAGACTGTAGACCTGTTTTGTCACTGCAAGCTACAGACTGTAGACCTGTTTTGTCACTGCAAGCTACAGACTGTAGACCTGTTTTGTCACCACAAGCTAGAGCTTGTAGACCTGTCTCATCACTACAACCTGACTGTAGACTGATCTTGTCATCATTACGACCTGAATGTAGACCGATCTTGTCGTCATTACGACCTGAATTTAGACAGATCTTGTCACCATTATGACCTGAATGTACACCTGTCTTGTCACGACAACCTGCAGACTGCTGATTGATCTTTTCGTCATCACTACAGAATTTCAATCTACTCTTGTTGCCACTCTGTGTCAATCTTTTGTGTTTGGATGATAATGGAGTACTTGGGTCTCCACTACAAGGCTCATCCTGACACACCTCAGTCCCCCGGCGGCTCCCTGCTGCACTGATGCCCTCTGCTGGTCCAGTTCCAGGGACATAACTCTCAGTCTTCATCACAGGTGACTTGAAGGACAGAGATGCCCGTATTCTTCTTGAACATGAGGATAGTGGTTTGGGTGTGTTTGAATTATCTCCCCTTGATGTGGATGACTGAAGCGTGTCTTGTGGTGTGACTGGCAAACCCACGCTTGATATGTGTAGAGGTCCAGGAGACAAGGGTGTTGCAATACAGGGCTTCTTGGCTGAGGGTGTAGCAGAATGGTACCGCCCACATCTCTTCAGTCGGTTCTTCAGACCTGTACTCAGCTGCAACATAAACATGGCTGTTGTAGAAAGAGATGCAATGATGAAGCGATCCATTAGTTACTTGTGATACATCTTGTACAATACAATATCATTTCCATCTGGATATATATCAATATAACTATGTGTATCATTTGATGTATAGTTTTTGTTGTTAAACCTGAAAACAATAGTGAAGAAGACTGCATCCTAACCTACATTTCTTCCAGAGCCAGGCGCGTCTTGCCCTCTCGGCTGGGTTGGTGTTACAGCACTCATCGTGACAGAGGCAATTACAGGATCAGTCTTTGGAATCTGGGAGAAAAGTGAAACAAGTTATGATATTGTTTGTTGTTCAGCCCAGCAATGTTCCAGCTATATGACAGCTCTTTGTACATAATCGAGTCTGGACCAGACAATCCAGTGATTTACATCATGAGCATCAATCCACATATCTGTAATTTGGATATGATGACCTGCATGAATAGCAATTCTTGTAGGCCAAGGTTGCCGTCATGTCCCATGTACTCATTAGCATCTTCATCAAACAGACTCTATCCTGTGTAAGCCAGAACGTTTTACAAGTGTGTTCACTTGTCAAATATATAAAACTACCGATCTTCATTATTAGCAAAACCAGTTTCTGGTGATGAAAACTATTTTACAAGTAGGCCACTTGGCTATTTCCTTTTAGTCGATAAGGTTGAAACAGATCTCAACCATTTACCAATCATTATATGACTCCACTGGTTTTAAGTTCTCTGTGCACAAGATATGTATAACATAAGAACTAAGTGTATTCTACTTTGATAGAGAGTTTGTATTTCCCGCAACAATTTGGCATAAGTTTGTTTTGCTCTGATACGGAATACGGTTATCAACTTATCAGTTAAACGAAATACGCCAAAGGGCAATGAAATGAGGCACAGTAGTCACCAGAAAAACTACTAACGTAATGAAATTAGTTCGCAGTGGCTTCGCCGTAATGAAATACTCTTGCGTAGGTTTCTTGATCGCGATCATTCGTCGACGTGTTTAGACGGCTTTTTGACATGGTTCCATTTTGCCGAACTGAAGTACTTCCGCGAGATCTCGCGATATTACGCTAAGTGCGCGATCAACGGATGGCGGCTCGTTTAAATGATGAATAAATAGAATAACAATATATTATCGTCAAACAAACATTTGGATTTGGAATTACACTGTTAACGATCGTAAGTATGATCCAATAGTGTATGTTGATTTTGAATCTAAAGTATGTTTAGCATTGAAAGCCTTCTGAAAATAGGTCACACAATGGCTCGCTTTGTGACTTGTCAAAAGTTCATCATCAGTTTATCGGCAATATCCTGATCATAGATGTATGCCAGAACTCAAAAGATATTTTTTCATGGCGTACTCTTAAATGATAGGGTTATCATCTTTTGCAGTGCACTTTTCAGTTCGTGCAGGGAAAGTTAATGTCATTTGAGTCATCTAAAAAGACTGAAACACAAACATTCAGATCACCCTTTGCAGGGCGCAGGAAGTGCAGGAAAATCGAAAAACTGATTCAACTAAAATGATTGAAACAAAAATCCACAGAACCACCGACCTCCCGCTCTCCTGACAGTAATAAAAGTGATGTAATAGGCCTTAATCATCAAAATGGGTTATTGACACAAGTAAAAACATTGTTTCATCAGTAGGCCTACAGTACATTTCTGAACCATGGTAAATAGCTGCTTTTATTGTTAACAGAAAAATGTCTTGTAGGCATGTTACGATTTATATATAGAGTCATCCCATGCGGTGAACGACACCCCGCATTATCAGACACCTGCATTATTTCAATTATGGAATGTAGGTCGGGTGATAGTTGAACTAACGAGGACACGAATACATGTACTGGGGTCAACTGCAGCATGGTCCCCACTTCAGGGATTTCCTCAAGGAAACCGCTGTCTTCGGCAGCTTTCAGTACCCTATATACTGTATGTGTATGCACACTTGATAATGTATGGGCATATATGTGCATGGTTACAGAAGAAAATTTGACAGTGTTTGTGAGAAAAATATAAATGTATGATTTTATTTTTGTGTTTTTTCTTCGAGTACAAACTTTTTATACAAGTTTATATATCCTGTTATTGTTAACTACCTTGACTGCTGGGATCACTTGAATGCAAATATGGTCAGATATACATGTATAAAATAATGTTTACTTTGATAAATCCTAAGTTGCAAACTGTCAACTGCATGGGCGTTCAGCCATTTCTTAACAAAGCCACTACGCACAAAATTTTCGACAGATAAGCCAGTTAACATGGTTAAACACTGTTTCAGACTGCAAATTATTATACTGGTATTAAATAACATGTGAGTTTGATATTAGAAATCAATGTTACAATAGTTTAACTCTGCAGAGGTGCCAATTTAGTTCTAATTTCAACACACCTAAATCCTTATCAAACAATGGAGCAGCGGCATGCAAGTTGCTTAGCCAATCAAATGAATTATACGCTATTTGTTTACAAAAAGGAAGGCAATGATTGGGTGATCGCATAAAAATCCAAAGAATGTGAACTTTACCTCAGGAAAGTAGAGACACACGATGGACGTGATACAACACTCAGGATTTATCACATAAAATATAAGTATAAGACAACGGATACAAATATTTATCACAGTATACATGGTTACATTTTATGAATTTATGAATCAGACAATAACTGTTTTTAGACAAATGTACATGTACAGCTGTTGATCACTTTGTTTCAGACTGTATGTGATGACTATGTAATTCTGATTCCAATTTTTTATGGTTTTTGTCTGGATGTTGCTCTGGATAAAGCCTAAACACAGATACACCCGCCATGTAGGCCTAGTTATTCCAATGACAACACTCGGCATGCTTGATGTTGAAAACAATTCACGAAAGTTCTCAGCACTGATCTCATTAATTAATCCCTGTTGCAACATAAACATATGAAAGGGTAACAACTTACTAAGAAGGTAAATGTTTGTTTAATGATTGAAGTTAAATTGATGAAGTTAAGTCTGATCGTAATTAGGTCTAGGTATGGAGAACCTACGGTGTTCATTGTTGTTTGGACATTTATCAAATGTTTATTAAATTAGGTCATCGCTCACCAAATATGTGTAATGAGATGGGAAACACCATGAAATTTATGGGAGCCAGTGATTCCCCGCGGTCAACTGAATACACGATATCACAAAGGGCGTTATCGCGGGGGATGACTGTATATATATACAATTATCTTCTGTTATGATATGTACATGATACTTTGTTCACAATGTGATATGTGTTGCGATACTTAATAGGAGCAATTTTGCTTGAATTTTAATATTTCATATGTCATAACACTGTAGGTAACAATGTGGCATGTGTGAAATGATACATGATTGAAATATGAATCGATACAGGTAAACATGTATCACATATTGTATAGTCTCACTCTGAGAATAGTATCGATGTACCAATATATTAGTGAATCATGACATCCCTAATGTCTTGGTTGCAGTGCAACAAATTCTAGTATTTCTACTCTTATTTAACCCAGTTTGAACAAGCAGTCATCATAAACTGATCTGCTTGCTCTTTCTCTCTGCAGCATGATGTCAAAAAGAGATGTTTTATCCCCTATCACCAACACACCAATAGTACGTCCATCAACATCCTCGTCCAAGTTCGTGTCGCCATCCCCCAACAGGAACAGCAACTTGTCAAGTCCGACACCACTCTTGACACGAGACCGAGATGACACAGCGGAAAGGAAAGAGAGACGACGATCTCGTGTCTTGGACTTACAGCGTCGGAACTTAGCCAGTCCCAGCACACCTGACAGGTTAGATATCAGGCCATTGTGTCTTCACACTAACTCTAGTTAGGCTAACAACCCGTGAAGATCCGTGTTACAATTGTCTTCATTAATCCATGCTTGTAAGAGTCAACTAACAGGATCGGGAGGTCAGAATCGCTGACATTTATTGCATGTGATCGTATATACCAATTATGCAGATCGATGCTCATGATGTCAATAACTGTAGTCCAGACTTTAATATGTACAGAGCGCCATAATATTGCTGGAATTTTGTAGAGTGCATTAAATAACAAACAAAGTCATGCTAACTGTATTGCAATTGAGAATGGTATTGTGTAGTACCGGAATTACTGTGAATCTGGGTTACTGATGGGTATACTAGCAATGCAGGGAAAGTGTCCTCGATCTGATGGCAGTGCATCAGTAGTTAACATGGTTAACATTAGGGCTGGGACGGGAAACTCGGGTACCCGGGTTGGGTGGGTACTGAGTAGGGCCCGGATACCCACAGGACTACCCGGACCCGTTGTTACTCACGTGATGTATTGTTTTATGACCAAAATTATTTAGAACTCTATGGTTACACTACAAGTCACTAATGTTCGCATTTCTTTCTGACTATGCACCCATTCCTTCTGACTTTTCAAATGGTTGAATAAAGATAAAACTTAATTCAACTTCAGTGCATGAATGACCAGATTGTTTAATACATGTATCTTAATACGTTTTGCCAGGGCTATGCTAAAAATGTTCCCATTCGGACATTTTGAGACATCTCCTGAGACCTACAGTGGGTTCCTGGGTAGGGGCGGGTGGGTACCGTGGTAGTAAATTTGGACTCGTCCCAGCCCTAGTTAACATCACTGTCATGCTATACGATCAATAGTAACTGTAACTGTTCAATAGTCCCCCCTAGAATTTGGCTAGGCCCCTTTTCATATTATCTGTGAAAGAAACTATGAACTATAAAGATATTTATCAGATTTCCACAATTTATAACACTCAGTCAGTGACCGGTGACAGGTAATTGCCTTCTCTGATTGACTCAATGTGTTTTAAAGAACATGTGTTATATATTATATTTACTGATTGAATAAAGTACATGAGAACGGTGATCACCACTGTGATACATGCAGGGATTTATCAAGGCGTGTTCAGAGGCTGATATTCAGGAATTTCCCAAATGTGAATATAAACTTCCTAATTCTTGTCACTGCCTCCAAGGTCTAGTGGTAGAGCATACGCTCGGAGAGCGGAAGGTCTGGGGTTTGATCCCTGGTCGCGCCATACTAAAAGATGGTACTTGTTGTTACCCTGCCTGATGCTGGGCATTATGGGCTAAAACAAGGACTGGTTGGCTCTGAGTCAGTATACTGTGTCTGAGTGGGGTATCCATGTTAAAACTACAGTTGAAATACCTTTGAATTTAAGAAACTAAGAACTTGAAAAAATATACCAATTTGAACAAAATGTGATGATCTTTAAAAATCAAAATAACGATTTAATCCCAATTTGCCAGATGCATGCATTTAGTTGTAACTCCTAAGTGAATCCATGACACATGTAGTGGATAATGATGATGTGCAAGATGTATTATGACTCATTATGTCTTACTGCTTCACCAGATAGAATTGTTGCCTCTTACTTAGCAGATGATGATGTAGGAGCACTAGGAAGAATACTTTTGTGCTTTTTCCTCCAGACGCAGATCAGCTGGATTAACCAATAATCAGCTGTCCGAGCACTACGCATCCTGTATCAAGCTCTCCACAGAAAATGTAGGTTGACATGTGTTGTGAAATTGAGAATGTTGCTGGTTGTTAATTTACTAGACTGTGTGATGCACCAATGTCTTTCTCTTGATAGTCAGGGTTGCGGTTGTGTTGACATGATAGATTTTATGACCTGACAGTGGGATGAAATAACTGTCAGTCAGGGCCAAACACCTCAGCAATGCAGAATTCTAAGTGTGCCAAGTCAGACTGTTCCATCTGTTGGAATAGGTTGTCATCATATTCATAGCATGGTGACATCACTTTTCAATTCTGATAAAAGAAAATTGTCACTTTTGCAAACAGACAGTAATAGTTAACAGATAAGATTCTGTTAGACAAAATTGTGAGGCAAAGAAGTTTCATGTAGTGTGGATATTTTCTTGCACTGTGACACCATAATACTTTTTGTTTTAACATCAAATTAAAAGCAATGTTTGTGTAATTTAGGATCTTGAATATTTATAATTAAAACTCGCCTTGGTGTGTTTTGGAATCAAGCATAGCAACACTTGAAGATAAAAGAAGTCCAACTCTGTTGCAAAGACTCACGATGATGTGTTTGGTTTCAAAACACATGCTGTGACATTCACTGTTAAAATGTTTTAGACTTTATACAGGATCTTTATATCTCTGTGTTTAAGAGAAATTTGATTTGATTTTGTGTTTTTGTTTGTTTTGTAGAAAATCAATGCTAAGAATGCCTTCAGCCTTCAGCTCATTGACTACATGTCGGAGCTCCTCAAGAAGGAGAAGATGGAAAACTTCCAGGTTGGTTGGACGCTGGTTTCCTGTTACTACAGGGAAATGGGTTTGGTAAAATGGTACTAAATTGGGTAAATTTCTTCACATTTGTTCACATTGTTTCAATGAGGCTATTGTTCATATAAAGACACTCTGTAATTACAGAAGTTGCAAACAGTTTGGTAATGCACAATATTAATAAACAATCTTTAGACTCTAAATAGGTTCACTATGTACCTGTGTCAGTCGAAACATCATTCAGTGACCTGTGTCAATATTTCTAAGCTAAAAGATCAAAGGCACCGACTGTACTTCATACTGCGACAAAGTACGCTTTTTGAGTTACTCTGTTCAAATTACCTCCCCCGTGATCTAATGTATCAATGGTAACATCGTTTTTTCCTTACTGTCAAACAAGATAGCGCATCCACGTCAATTATTGGTGAAATAGTTTCTTTAAACTTGTCAAAGATTTGAATATTATTACCTGGGAATCAATATGGCAAGATGATGTCAACCATCTCTCATGCCAAATGGTTTTCCCAAACATATTCAAACCACTGTGTCTGTGCCACAGAAGTCACAAAATTGTCCTAGGAGGGCGTTGGTGCCCTAGGAATTATGTGTGTGTCTCTAGACAAAATAATGAGCAATGCTTGAAAAGTTTAATAACCACATGTACACCTGTTGCACAGCATACTGCATTTAACAATATACAGCAGTCAAACAAAACGTCCGCTACTGCTCCTTTACTGCCATGTTCATCCCACGGCGACGCCATATCACGACCCAGGCTGTCCATTCACCCCATTTACGGTATCACGCAACCAGCTTGTTAAGCAAACTATTCCATGGCTTGCAGTTGCTGCAGTCTGCAGTTGCAACTTGTGCAACAGGAAACACCTCAACTCAAATGAATTTATTTGTTTGAAGCTTATACGATATACAATTTTTCCATTGGGCAAGGGGTGACCGCAAAACTGGTGTTCATATGTGTATGAACGACGCAATTTGACGTTAATACGTCCTACAGTTTGGCCCTCACTCTGTTAAGGTTCATACTCCAATGAACATGATGAACTCACACAAGTGAAAGTCAGTTCTTAATAACCAGTGACACCAATCACCAAACCACATGACTTCAGCTATGTTTACCTTAGTGCACTTGTGGAATGTTATGAGTCATGATTAGTTGAAGTAAAGTAATATAAAAACTTATATTCAATAATCCTACTTATTGCTGCATGGGTTTATGGATATCCTCACACTGAACGGATAATGAAATATGACCTATTTAAATAATAAACTATCTATTTTAGTGGAGTTGTATTTGTTTAAAACGTAAAGGTGTCTCTTAACGTAGGGGTACAGGCAATTAGGTGGAACATCCCGTCAGTTTGCCCTGTTTGTGGATTTTCAATTTAAGGCACTGCTTATTACAGGTTTCTTTTTAACCCATCTCTTATAAAACACAATTTTTTCTAAAATTCAGCATCCTAGAAAAGACACAAGCATCCTCATGCTTTAACTATAATAGTTCAGGCAAAACTATACTTAATTACATAATACATGAGGGCAGCGCAAATTGTTTCTTAAATTCATCTTGCCATGTCCTGTGTCAATTTGTCATATATCATGGTGCTGTCTGTGCCCCAAAAGTTATAAGCCCTCTAGCCCAAACATGGCTCAAAAGCATCATTTACAGATTTTAGTGTTATTATATGGACTATTATTAATTGAACTTAGACAGTACAGAATTTTTCCAGAATGGGCTTCGACCAGTGGCCAAAGTCGCACTCTGCCTCATCTACATGCTATGATATTGTCTGTGTCAGATCGCCAGCTCAACCCTAGATGCCAGTGCCAAGATCTACGCGGGTCGTGTTGACTGTATCCATGCAGAAGCATACAAAGTGCTGAGCGGGCTGGGGCGGGGATCCAACAAACCCAGAGAGGAGGATGGGGAAGGTATGGAGGACAGTCTGATGTGATGTTGTCTGCGATGTCTTGTGATGTGATGTTATCTGTGATGTTTTCTGATGTTGTGATGTTTTCTTATGTTGTCTGTTAGGCTTTCTGTGATGTTTTCTGATTTTGCAATGTCTGATGTTATGATATTTTCTCTACCCAGGTGAAGACGGGGAACCTGGGGGAGACCTGGCAGGGGGAGACAATCCTGATCAACTCAAGAAAAAGAAGAAGGTTAGATGTACAGAAATATGAAACCTTGTGCAGCACACTGATTTTATCCAAATTGTTCCAGCTTTCACTGGTTATTTTGATAAAACAATCCTGCCCCATTAGGGATTCATTCACCATCAGCAACATTGCACACACTTCTTCTTCATGACAGTTATGTAATTAAATATTTCCCAATTCATGTCACCAGAAATTACTGTGAATGAGAACATTGTTAATATAATTAATTGTCATAGAGCAAGAGATAAGTTTGTCAACAAACACTGCTTTCATACAGATACCAAACAGCAAACTGTTCAATATTTTGTCAGACCACCTCTTTTTCTAAAACATGTTTCAAAGTGAGGTGAGGCGCACTGTGTATCAAGGAAGTTAGAGAATCATGAGTCATACTGTCCCAATATCTCACTACCTTTGCTTTCATATCATATGGTTTTTTTTAGATTTTTTATTGATATTGCCCTTCATGATTACACAAATATTTTCAAGTGGCTTCAAGCTAGTGTTTGAAAAGTTTTGCAACCCAACAGACAGTGGGGCAGGTGACCCATAAATGTTTCCTGCCCATCTTCAAAGTTACCTGCCCGCATTCAGACATTATAAATATAGTTGCGAAAAGTAAGAGACAAATCTCGTCTTGAATCAGTAGAAATATTTTTACAATTACTTGAGAATCTATGAGGAGTCATAATAAAACTGAATATGTGAATTGGCATAAAATTATTTGCCAGACAGTCAGGCAGGTAGAGGAAAATTTCATGCATCCCGACAGACACGTTATCAGCCATGTTCAAACGTCTATCTTGTTGTTCAGGTGTGGAGATGGAATTCCTTGTGATTTCTGCCAGTCCCTTGCATGCAAATGGGTTCTTATTGTCTCTTTAGAACGTGAACTGTTCCTCCTTTCAGCATTTCATGCCTAATATTTGTTTGGACGCTAATATACCAAGTCGCCCTGTGTCACTAACAGTCAAATTTCTTTGGCCTACCTGCTCCCTTTTTGTGCTCAATTCAATCTCCACTCTGAATATTTTTCAAAACATGGTACACAGTTGATAGAGGAATGTCTGTTCTCTCTCTAATGACCTGTGCTGATCAGATTTCTTGATTCTATAATCTTTCTTTTTCCTAAAGCTGCAATTTCCACAGTGCTCTGGTCAGACTTTACAAATATGAAACACTGAGTTGTCTCCCTTGAATCAAAAGTCAGGATAAGTTCTACATACACCTTTGGTATGGTAAACATTGATGGCCAAAATGGTGTGTTAAATTCACAATAATTTCTGGTCAAACTATATATGTATGTTGAGGTTTTGGTCAAACTATATATGTACGGTGAGGTTTTGGTCAAGCTATATATGTACGGTGAGGTTTTGGTCAAACTATATATGTACGGTGAGGTTTTGATCAAACTATATATGTACGGTGAGGTTTTGGTCAAACTATATATGTACGGTGAGGTTTTGATCAAACTATATATGTACGGTGAGGTTTGGGTCAAGCTATATATGTACGGTGAGGATTTTTGTCAAACTATATATGTACGGTGAGGTTTTGATCAAACTATATATGTACAGTGAGGTTTTGGTCAAACTATATATGTAAGGTGAGGTTTTGATCAAACTATATATGTACGGTGAGGTTTTGATCAAACTATATATGTACGGTGAGGTTTTGGTCAAGCTATTTATGTACGGTGAGGTTTTGGTCAAACTATATATGTACGGTGAGGTTTTGGTCAAAGTGATGGAACCAATAAAGAGGGAGAGCCTTGATAACTAAAATATTTCTATTATGACATTGAATGCATTTTTACAATACATTGTTAAGATGCCTCTGAAAAAAAGAAGCTTTGAACAGTTTCCCAATTGTGAACAAAGTACCAATACATTTCAAAGTAAAAAGGCCAAGGGCACTTAGTTTAGATTCCTGGATAAACTCCTGTCAGTCATGTAGTGTAAACTGGATGATATATCTAGATCACCTCATCATGCGTCATCTTGCAAGACGACTGTTGTGGCGAGGAGCTGTTGTCCTCTATGATGTTATGATGATTCACACGTCAGGGTTCTGTTTCAGGTTAGAAAAAGTCGGACAGTAGAAACCAACCTGAAGAACATCAGTGTAAACAAGTTCGACTTGGAGTTTGAGGTGAGCTGGCTTTGACTGACCTGCTGGTCCTTTGACCCCTGGAAGTAGATACACTGTTGTTTAACATCAGTGGCCCATTGGTCACTTATCTTTACATACACATGCTTGTTTGTCCGGGTCGGCTGGCAAGGTTATTGTGGGGTTAGCTGACCCAGCTGGAAAGTGGATTGTTTTTTATGTTTATCTTCCCTTGCCAACACACTCTCACAAATCATGCTAGAAGTTTGACCACTTAGTATAGGAGGGTGGGATAGCCTAGTACAGAGATTTACATGGGTCTATCTGTTGTGAGTCAGGGGAACTCTCAGTCATAACTTTGGGGTCCAAGGCATGCTTCACTGGATTTCCATGAATTTTACTGATGTACAGAACACAGATAGAATGAACGAACATGGGTAGAGAGAACAAACAGATACAATGTACTCTTACTATATATATCCCCGATTTATCTCTTATATATTTAGCGAATAAACAACTTGTGGTCGTTTATCGTGCAATAAAACACTGCAGGGAGAATAAACCATGAGTGGGTGCACGATGTCAATAAAATGTACAAGCTTTAACAACATTTACATGTATGTATATAATGATGACTCCCTGAATACAACTCCATTTTATGTACAGGGGGGTTAAGTTTTGTATTCTCACAATTTTCATGTCAATTATCTGCACCTTTTCTCCCAATACCGATTGTTGTATCACCCCCACTTTTTGATGCGGGTGAGATAGTGTATATCTGCTTGGCCCAGCTACATCGATGGGGAACAACTCGCTAGACACTTCCCTCTCAAAAGTATGTTGTCTTATCTATGGCGTCATCAAGTTGTGAGTGCATGTTCGAATCTCCAGAAATGACATCCTGATAGAACAATGTTTTATCATAAAATAAACCACACTTCGTTCTACATTGTTCTTTGCGATTTATCGCATAGCTATCTTATATTATCATATATAATGTATGTATGTAACAAACTCTCTACAGCGAACTGATATTTTATTCCGACAAGCCGAAATACCACTAATTAGTGATATGTACAGCGAACTGAGAAATCTCACTGTGTCAATTAGTCTCACTTGCAATTGGCTATACTCAATGAGTGGCGAATCAACACAAACACGAGATAAAACATTTATCATCCAAAACTGGCTCCCAAAGGAGATATCGCTTGGGTGAGATCAGGCGATATCTACATTATTTGTAGATATCGCTGCAATGAAATTGCATCACAATGCTTTGCTGACCATTGTTACATCACAATCAAATGACATCACTAATGGCTCTGCTACTGAAGCTGTTAGCAGTACCTTTTACACCTAAGACACTGCTTATTTTTGTCTACAAACTGAAAAAGTTGGAAGAATGATGTTGGATGATAAATAAAATCTCTTCCTCGTGTCTTTTGATATGAAATATATCAACACTGGTTCACAGAAGAGGAAAAACTCCTCGGCAAGCCTCAAAGTCTTTCCACTTTTATCAACTCGTGTTGATATATTTGATATCAAAAGGCACTCGGGTGAGATTCTCTATATGTAACAAACAATGTACGAGTAAATCAAACTGATTGCAGTTTGTTATATTGATGTTCTAATGTAATATCATTGCTCATGCTCAGATGCCTTTAGCCTGTGATGGATGGGGATTTCAATGTTAGACTGAGGAAAATCAACCACTGACGTGCTGAACGTTGAGTGTATGTCAGTGACAATATGTAACAAGACAAACTTGCAATCTTCAATTTTGATTAAGTTTAATGATTCAAACAGCCATACTCTTTTGTGTTAATAATGTTAATTCATAAAATTTTCACATTCATTCTCTTCATTATTTGACTATAGGTAGGACCTTGCTAGAGGTTTAATCATTTGTTTGTCACTCATGGTGCATACTGTATGTGAAGTCCATTCCTACTGTCTCCTATGTGGATGATTGAATAGTGCACACTGTAGTCATGTTGCCAATCAAGTTCTCAACACACAAGTCATTGTTCACATTTTGTGGAGCATCTGTGCCAACAGGAAACTTCATCATCCAACTCATGATGACTTTGACCCCTAATATTCTGTGTTCCAGGTGGATCCGATGTTCCAGGTTATGTCAGCAGCATTTGACGAGGGTGGTGCCAGTGGCTTGATCTTGAACAACTTACGTTGCTATGACGACTGTCAGGAGCTGGTGCTCGACTCGTCGACCCTGGTGTCGGTGGTGGACAGCAAGGACCCGGAGTTATCCCCCAAGTCTCTCAATGTCACCGATCTCAAAGGTTTAGTCTCAGTTAATGTTTATTCAAAGATTGTTTAAAGCTGCTTGGGAATTAGATCTGTGTTTAAATGAATCTGTTGTGTTCTAGTTTTCTTGAGCAAGGACTTAAATAATGTTTCACATTGTGTGACTTGGTAAGACACGTAGTCCTTACTAGGGCCATTTATTTAAAAATACTGATGGGGAAAATTAAGACAACTATTTAGGGATTAAGATTTTACGTTGCATCAGCAGAAACTGCTATGAAAGGGATCTGTGGGGATTCTATGTAAGAATACAGGTCCCAAGCAACCCATGCTGGTCATAAAAGACGACTAAATTGATCATGTAGTCAGACACAGTGACTTGGTTCATTGCATGTCATCCACAAACAATTGCTATAAGAAAGACGTATTTGAATGCAATGAAATTCACATGGAGAGTGGTGGATTGTAGTGAACACACAGGAACAAACATTCCACTTGGTCGAGTTACTTTGATGATCGGAGTCGTTTTATTTGACTTAGAAGCAAACAATAATCTACTGTATTTGTTTGTAGCCTTATTTGGTTTTGCTTAAAATATCTCATTACTTGCAAAACTTCAGTGTCTTAACTTTTGTTTTCAGACATGTTGGATAAACTTGACTGTGAGAGTAAACAAGTGTGTGCTCCTTATACAGAGTTTCAGTTCACTAACTGGGACGGCTCTGATATGGTGAGTAGGAAAAGTGATTAGACTTTTGTCTCAGTGTTGATTAGACCTGTGGGGATTCCGGGTTAGAAAGCAGGTCCCCAGGCAGCTATGCTGGTCGTGCAAGTCTAAATGGACGGTAGGTCAGGCTCAGTGACTTAACTAATTGTGTCGAGGGGCGTGGGGTTTTGCTCATAATATCAGTCACTGGTTTGTCTGGTCCAGACTTGATTTATACAGGATATGAAACAGACATTTTTGAGTCTGGTGATCTTAGTCTTATTTCAGGTGATCTCAGTGTTGACTGGGGTTGTCATCGGATATTGTGATATACAAATTTATGAATATCAATACTGAATTAATAATTCACTGCCACAGAAACATTTACCTTTGTTAAGATTACCATGGTTAAAATGGAGAATAAGAAGGCCGAAAATTCAGTTTTGAACATGTTATGGTTCAGCATTTAGCATTATTAGCTTACCGGGTCCAAAGTACCAAGGTGAGCTAATGCCATACCGTGGCGTCCGTCCATCATCCGTCTGTCTTCTCTCGTCCGTACATCAACAATTTATTCAAGCAACTTCCTCTTCTGAACCACTAATAGGAAATTAATTAAATTTGACTGGAAATATCCCTAGGTGGTGGGGATTCAAAATTGTACAAATGGTGGGGCTGACCCCCAAGGGGCTGAGGGGTGGGGCCAAATGGGGGTAATTTGGCTACATTGCTTAAAGTGACTTCTTCTCTGGAACTAAGAGATAGATGTCAACCATATTTGGTTGGAAGCATCCCTAGGTGGTGGGGATTCAAATTTGTACAAATGGTGGGGCTAACCAACCAAGGGGCTGAGGGGCCGGGCTGAACCCTACCCCTACATCCGGGAACTAAGGAGCGGGTCTAAAAAGAGTTTATAAGTTGGACAGAGTTAAGATCCCCACCGTATAACCATATGTACAATTGAGAGTATAATGAGAGGAATGCACATATGCTACCAGGACTGGCCCTTCTGTTCATCTGTCCAGCACTTCCAAAGGAGTTAGAACCTTGACCATAACATGCAAACCGATATTATCCCCACACTATTATAAACAGATACATTGTATACATTTGTTTGTTATGAAGAGAATAATACCTTTAATATGATTTATCCTGGATCATAACATGGATACGGTTCAGATCTTTATGTTACATTTGTATCTAGAGAAATACACGTTCATACTGTCAGATTTGCCATCCACCCAATTTAATTGCTGACAGAGTCAAAATGACGAAATATTTGCAGTCTTATATACATGTACAATGCAAATGTATATTTTGTCATGATTGTGCAAATATCCAGATGAGCAATACAGGCCCTGTGGGCCTCTTGTGTTAACTATTTCCATGTCAAGATAGGAAATTTTCATCTATGCACATACATAATAGCGAATTTTGATATTGTTATATCGTGATAACAAGAGTATACTTTCCAATCAATGACACCCTTAGTGTTGATCCAGAAGGGACAATGTTTGAACATGCTTGTTGCCCTCTTCAGAGCTCCATGCTGAGTAAAGGTGCATCAGAGCATGCATTTGACATGAATGCGGAGAGGGAGCCGATCTTCCCCGACGCTGACGATGATGATCATCAAAGCCTTCCTCCAGACACAGATTTTGGCGACATGGCCGATGGCGGCAGTGACAGTAAGTGAAGTGCTGCTAGTAGCCAGTCTGTTGAACCTCAGTAGTATAAGCTCATAAGCATCCCTTGCTGGTGAGAAAAAGCACCTAATTTGAGGACTGAGTGGGAAAATTGCTGCTGATTATGATCACCTCAAAGCCAACTGTCAGTTGGTTTAATGTTAGTCCATTTATGATGTGCCAAATTCCACAGTAGAATCTGGACCAGTTTAACAAGGACCAGTAGAACCTGGTCTGGACCAGTAGAACAAGGCCCCGCAGAGCCTGGTCTGAACCAGTGGAGCCTGGTCTGAACCAGTTGAGCCTGGTCTGAACCAGTAGAACCTGTAGCATCAACATTCACAGGACCAACTGGAGGGTTTCCAGATAACTTCAACAATTTTGAAATTTTAATAAAGTGAATAAAAGTGAAGGGGTCCTTGCCCTATTCTTAATGCTATAGATGGAATATTAATGGGTCCCAAGATTCAGATACATGTACTGTACTTTTCCCACTTTTGAGCACTGGATGGAATGAAAAGGTGCCTTACCACAGAGGCATCAAGTAAACAGTTTAATAGCAAAAGAAACACAGTAAGGATGTTACTTGTAAATTGTATGCTTAGACTTTATGTGTGTGGTTACCTTGTGATAACTTCAAGCAATATTAATGGGGCTGAACCAAGTTCTGTAATGTCACACATGAAGACACATGATGTTTTATAACTGTAGACAGCCTAAGTGCTGTCTTCAAGATGGTCAAAGTCTAATAATGATGGCTAGAAATTTCTTCTAGTTGAAGAGAGCTGAATGATTCCTGCTTGACCTACCATCACCTTTCTAAAACTCTGTCAGTTAGAACACAGTTATGTTACACTTTACATTAACATTAAGTGTGAAAGCCATGTTTCCATTATCTGTGACTTCTGTTTGTAGATGAAGATGCAGGTGGCTTTGATGATGACGGGGAGAGGTCGAACGTTGTCGGAGACAGTCGTGCTGCCATGCTTGTTCAGAGTGCATTTGAAGATCTCACGTAAGTCAACTTATTATCCCCCGCCGCGCGAAAGCGCGAAGCGGGGGATATAGTATTCATGACCGTCCGTCCGTCCGTACGTCCGTCCGTACGTCCCACCTGTTTGTTGCCGCGATATCTCAAGAACTAAACACTGGATTGTCTTCATATTTGGAACTATGGTGTATATACAGACTCCGCAGACACCAGTCGGTTTTGGTGACCTTGATCCCATTTTCAAGGTCACAGCAGACAAATCTGCTTTTAGAGTTGGAAAACGGTGTTGCCGCGATATCTCAAGAACTAAACACTGGATTGTCTTCATATTTGGAACTATGGTGTATATACAGACTCCGCAGACACCAGTCGGTTTTGGTGACCTTGATCCCATTTTCAAGGTCACAGCAGACAAATCTGCTTTTAGAGTTGGAAAACGGTGTTGCCGCGATATCTCAAGAACTAAACACTGGATTGTCTTCATATTTGGAACTATGGTGTATATACAGACACCGCAGACACCAGTCGGTTTTGGTGACCTTGACCCCATTTTCAAGGTCACAGCAGGCAAATCTGCTTTTGGAGTTGGAAAACGGTGTTGCTGCGATATCTCAAGAACTAAACACTGGATTGTCTTCATATTTGGAACTATAGTGTATATACAGACTCCGCAGACACCAGTCGGTTTTGGTGACCTTGATCCCATTTTCAAGGTCACAGCAGGCAAATCTGCTTTTAGAGTTGGAAAACGGTGTTGCCGCGATATCTCAAGAACTAAACCTCTCGATTGTCTTCATATTTGGAACTATGGTGTATATACAGACACCGCAGACACTAGTCGGTTTTGGTGACCTTGACCCCATTTTCAAGGTCACAGCAGGCAAATCTGCTTTTGGAGTTAGAAAACGGTGTTGCCGCGATATCTCAAGAACTAATCGCTGGATTGTCTTCATATTTGGAACTATAGTGTATATACAGACACCGCATACACCTGTCAGATTTGGTGACCTTGACCCCATTTTCAAGGTCACAGCAGGCAAATCTGTTTTTGGAGTTGGAAAACGGTGTTGCCACAATATCTCAAGAACTAATCGCTGGATTGTCTTCATATTTGGTACTATGGTGTATATGGCGGGGGATATTTCGTCACTCTGTGACAAATACTTGTCTTGTATGAGGTGATAACCTCAGACATTTGCACTGAAAATCATTTGTTGTCTGTGGACAATATTGCATCACTTATGAAATGGTTTGTCTACCATTTTTGTCTACCTCATTTTTGTAAATTTTGAACTGTATAATGTTTAAACTAATGCTTCAAACTCCCATCCTTCCCACTGGAGCATACCGACTGTCATTGTTCCCCAGGATCCTCACAAAGCATCTCACTCAGCTGAAGTGAGGATGCACTGGGATTGTAGCGTAGCTGTCTTATGTATATGAGTGTTTTCCTGCAGCCATGGCAGCTCGGGGACGCTGATGCAGATTCTGGCGTCCCAGCCGTCCGACTACTCCTACTTCAACAAAGCTCTGATGCAGACCTGGGCTGGCCCCTCACACTGGAGGAGAGGATGTCTCTCGAAAGGTCAGGCCCTTTTCCAGCTGTCTTGCTTTTGATCCCATGCATGTCTCCTTGTTCAGGTTTGACATTCAGACAAAAGGAACACAATATATGTGTGTGCATGTCTTTAAGAGCTTTGAACTGTCACACAGTAAGGGGTGAAACGATACATCTGTGCATCGTAAATTTTCATGCGACAATACCATACACATACGGTTATTTTTTCTGCATGGATACAAGATGATACCCTCCAAAAAATATTACTTAGTATTCATTTAATATTTGCCAAATATCACAAAATGTGTTGTAATTAGCGTTCCAAGTTCACTACTCTATATAGCCGCTACGAATAGCTTTTCCTTTAGAAATTGCTCTGAAATATTTATAATCAAGAAGATTCCACTTGATTTGATGTAAATATGTGTATCGCGATTTGTATCATATCGTGACCTATGTATTGTGTACGTATCATATCGTGACCTTGCTGTATTGTTTCACCCCTAGTACTGCCATGTATTGTGACAGAACAACAGCAGCTCCTGCACCCCACTGTCTCTGCAAGGAGTTAATGCTACAGGGATTTATCTTGGCCTGCTCAGAGGCCGATATCGTGCCCCAAGTCAGTTATGTCAGTAATAACTCACACATGTGGATTATGATGGTCCCAATTCTTGTCACACAGTTAGAACTAACGTGATGGCTTGGTCAAGGTGTTTTGTGTTTCACTGATAACAGAACCAATAATGAAGAACCAATTACTGCTTCATTTAGCATTATTGCTTTACCTGCAGTGTTAAAATACACTGTTAACATGCCTCTGAAATTAGGAAATTCCAATTCTGAACAAAGTAGAATTTTTCCTTGGACATCTTTGATTAACAAAAGTTGAGACAAGCACTGGTGATATGGCTGCTTATTTCAATCTTGAAAGAACAGTGATTTGATTTGACCTCTTAATGAAGCCAGATCAATGAGTGCAGGGTTATGATCAATAGAATGGTATACAGGATAAATTCTTGTGCTTATTGGACATGTTTACTGTTATCATTTCCAACTCAATCTGAGTCGTCTGACATGTTGTTAATGGGTATGTGGCCTCTTCAAGATATATTTGCAAACATTCTCTTGATTTGGTGACTGCCTGCTAATTGTTGTCTGTGTCATTTAGACACCAAATTCAAGACACTAAATAAGAGTCAGAAGAACAAGACAAAGAAAGCTGCATTTCGTGTCAACTATCAGGAGAAGACTGACACAGATGCTGCCTTCAAGACGTCCAAGGCCACAGCCCTGACCAAGACAACACTGAGTCGATACAGCAAGGAGCAGACAACTCTACCTGAAGATCTGCATTATGATGCTGATAAGCTGTTCCGACCGTTCCTTAAGCCGAAGATCATGGTACAGTGTAATAAATAGCAAGACAAGTAGACAGGGCTAGAGTCAGGATATTGTAGAATTATTTGACTAGTAGACAGGGCTAGTGTCTGGTTAGTGTAGAAGTATGAGACTAGTAGACAACTGATGTTGGGTTGGTATAAAGTACAAGACTAGTAGACAGGGCTAGTGTCTGGTTAGTGTAGAAGTATGGGACTAGTAGACAACTGATGTTGGGTTGGTATAAAGTACAAGACTAGTAGACAGGGCTAGTGTCTGGTTAGTGTAGAAGTATGAGACTAGTAGACAACTGATGTTGGGTTGGTGTAAAGTACAAGACTAGTAGACAGGGCTACTTACATGTCCTGTGGTACGTGTCATGTCACATGTGTCGTGCGATGTGGGTCATGAAAATTATGTCGTGTCACATGTTTTGTCATGTTGCAGGTCAAGCGACAGCAAGGCAGCAGCGTGGGGGTGGACGATGAGATCGACAACTATGACTACAACAATGAAAACGACAGGGAGAACTTCTGTGCTGATCTTGGTGTGAGTTTCAGTACTAAATAAATCAAACTTAACATCTTTGTAACAGATTACTCCTATGGTAGTATAAAAATGTTGAGGTGGATGATGATGAACCACTGTGTTAATCTGTGTACTTTGCCATCTCTCAGGGAGAGGACGATGATGAAGACGGGGGTGGTGGGTTCGACTTCAACTTGACGGCGGGCGACTACAGCCACGCCTCCTCCCAGGACAACATGTCACAGCCCAGTCTGGCCTACAATGACAGCCTGAACGCCACCTCCCTGTGTGGAGACAAACTCCTCTCACAGCCTTATAAGGTATGGCAGGGTGTGATCCTTCATATAATTATGTTTCTACGTTTGTCAGCACTGTGCTAGTGGTTTCACCAAAGTGTTAAGCATCCAAGACCTGCATAAATCAGGCTTTCCTTTCACATGAAACTGACACGACGTGATATAACTGGAATACTGTCCAAAGCAGTGTTTCACTCACTCACTCACTCACTCAATCAATCAATGTTAATAAATTTTTGGTGTTTGCAGGTTGCAAAGATAGATATTACATATGCCCTCACTCACTCACTCGATGTTCATAACTTTTTGGTGTTTGCAGGTTGCAAAGATAGATATTGCATATGCAAAGACGGCCAAGAAGTTGGATGTACGTAAACTGAAGGGAGCTATGTGGAACTTGTTGACAACACCAGCGTCAAAACAGGAGGTAATACTCAACTGTCAAATACCACAGTCTTTAGAGCTTTTACATCTCTGTGTGATCATAATGCATTTATACACATTTTTTATCATTTAACCTGTGTTGATTCTCGGGTCAAAATTGGTCCCCAGCTACCTATGCAGGTCGTAAGAGGCGACCAAATGGGTCTGGTGGTCCTTGGCTTGTTGATTGCATGTCATCGTACCCCAACGGCCTGGTTCATGGCTCCCAATATCAATCACAGTATGGATTGTCTGGTCCCTACTCGTTATTTACAGGCCGACATCACATAGCCGGAATATTGCTGAGTGTGGTGTTAAACAACAAACACAGCTGAAGAAGAACTTACGATCATTTTACCACTAAGATCGCTTTGTGGAATGGAGCCCTGGTGGTCAGGCTGTGTTATCTGATTGTGTGTACAGTAATGGATCGTCATCCTTGTTCATGCTTTCATGACCATGGCATAGCCCCTCTCACTCACTAACTGTAAGATCCCTCTCATGTAGGGATAGTTTTCATCTTTCCATGATACACAACACTGATTCCAGGGTTTATTTAAATAGAATTTACAGCGTTATAAATTGGCACTAGTCCTGTAGTCCTTACCAAACTGCCCAATAGTAAAGGTATCCTAAGGACTAGTAGAAATTGGCCCATTTTGAGGGTTTTGCTATATGTTAGCATTATAAGGACTAGTGGACAAAAACTGTTTGTTTCCAACCCTGATTTACACATGTGATCATCCCTTTCAAAACATGAACCACAATGTTTCAGGACCAGACATCAGGTCATCCTGACCACACCCTGATGGAGCCTCCTCCAACAACATCAGCCATGAACGAAACATGGACGTTCCAGACACTGCTCACCAAGCTACCAACGAAAGTGTCATCCAACACGGCCAAGAATCTCAGCGTCCCCATTGCCTTTGTGTGTCTGCTGCATCTCGCCAATGAGAAGGTGAGTCCATGTCTCAGACCCCCGACACTTGTGTACAGCACAGATAAAACACACTTCTCATTATTGCTGTTATTATTTTAACTCTTCACTTATGCTTTGATTTTTCAGACCCTGAAGATTTTGGACAGTAATTTGGAAGATCTACAGATATCCCAAGGAATGTAGCAGGGTCATGGTCGATATTGACAGTTTGTACATCTCAGTATTGACATGAAGATGAGTCTCACCCTTCGTAGCAGCATCGTTATGGGAACAGTGTATGTGGATTGCTCAAGACACAGGCAGCATTTGGACGTGTTACCAGAACAACAATGGATGGATACATCGCCTGGTTGTTATTGTTGACCAGCAATGTTTCCATGACAACAATGGTTGGTGACGCTATTCCTGGATCTTATGAATGACCAGCAATGAGTTGTCATGACTACCATGGTTGGTGACGCTATGCCTCTATGTTATGGTTGACCAGCAATCAGTGTTGTTGTTTTATGTCAAGTCTGTTTATCATTTTGTTTTATTGTATATAGTTTATGTATGATTTTATCATCTTTCACCAATCTTAACATTTTAGTGGATGCTGGTTATGTGTACATGGAACAACTTGAATGTAATCATGATCTGATTCTGACCTCATCCACATCCCCCATCACACAGGCCACTCTCATCTGTCAACATCACTATTCACATCAAGCTAAGATAGCACCATTCACTTCTTCATTTACATCAACACAGCATACCATCTCCATCAAATATTATGAAGTTTGCCATGGAAGACTGAAATCGTGACATAGATGAACCTTGGACCTGTGCAGTGCTAACTTGTCCATCTCCATAAACACAGCAGACTTTGCAGACCTCATGGTCATCTCTCCTATTGTAGAAATGCTTCTGTCAACATTATATCACATCCGTCATCAAGTCCTTTTCTCCTGTAAATATTTCCGTATTTATACATCATGTAGTTTCTGTTACTTGGATGGAGTCAAATTTCAGAGAGGATTTTTTCCCAAATGAAGTTTTAGCCCAAATATATATGATTATTGTCTTATATCAGAAAACAAATATTAAAAGTCTCAAGAAATGTTTGCTTTTCTGTTATGTTTTGAGGTGATGGTTAGTGAGGAGTGCTTCCTGCTGCCAGTGGATCCTAGGCAGGCTAATATAGACAGCACACACACACGGAGGCATGAATTGAATGAGGCGACACAACTTGCTCCTGATGATTTTTACCCCTTTTTACCACAAGTATGGTGTTGATTAACCCACAATCACAGGATTATTGAAGCCCAAGGGAAGTCAACTATAGCACCTGAGATGTCTGGGTCACCCATACCCTGGAGATAATATAGAGTCCACCACTGGACTCAAGTGTGACCATGGCAATTCAATATTTTGAAATAGCTGACAGAAAAGCTTTGGGGCTTATGTTACAAATATCTGGCAACATTGATCACTGTGAATGTCATGTATAATATATCATAATGTCATCATGAAGACCTGAAGCTTCCGGAAGACCATGTAAAAACTTCACATATACTTGAAAGAACATCCTATCTTTTCACTTAACTAGATAAACTGTCATGGCATTGTATGAGTATTGCAACACAGCCTTCCCAAAAGGAATGTTCTTAACTTGTATCGAGCAGAATATTTTGCTGCCATAAATTTGGTACATAGTAATGTACATTTCTAACAGTAATCTTCTGGATTTCTTTCCAAAATATACTACCGACAAAAGAAGGGAACTGATAAAATGTCAGTGAGCGTGTAGTGATGACCAATGTGTGCAAAATTCATTTTGGGTGTGTCCACGATGGCATACTGTTGATTAACTTGCGTATGCTTGTCTTTGGTATTGGCGGGTTTAGGGTCTCTGGCGTACACTCTCTGTCTAAGAACATCCCTCAGATGCTCAATTGGGGACATGTCTGGGGACTTGTCATACGGACAGCTGACTGGCCCGCTTTGTCGTCAGAGATAATCAGTGACAAACTGGGCACAATGGGGTCTGGCATTGTCAAAATTTCTGCCGATACTTTTAGCAAATGGAACGACAGGACACAAAATTTCATCAACAAATTGTTGGTCAGTTCATTCAGAAGAACCGAATCAGTTCGCTTGTCGTGTGATACCACTCTACCCTATGGCACTACCGCCCCGATACCGATCATAGTCAAGAATTGTTGCACTGGCATACCTCTCATTGCTACATCGCCAACATTTTCTGCTATCTGTGAATCAGAGGCCAAACCTTGATTCATCTACAAACGTAATGTCATTGGTGACCACCACAATCTTTGCCGAACTGTTAGGGTCAAACCCTTCACAGGATGCTTTGGTTTCAGGCAGGCTGCAGAGCCATTTATTTAAATGGTAGATTTTGAAATTCGCCTTTTTATTATTGTACGGAATTCTCTATTGCTGACAGGATCAGGTAAGCAGGGCTTGAACAATCCACTCGTCCACTCGTATTGACGAGTGGCAGCATGTGCAGGGCGCGAAAGTAGCGAAGATACACTCGTCCTACCGGGCAAGTACATATATTTCAATCATATCAATTCATCTCTAATCATTTTCAATAATATATGCAGGTTTATTTTGAACATAAAATAGTTTTCATTTCTCATATGTTCGTAGCAATAATTACAAAATACATGTCGCCTATATCATAAATAGACGGCATACATGGCAACGGCCTGTTTAAGAAATAAACAAAAAGTGCATCTGGTCTAAAAACTATTTTATAAAGGAAGGCAATTATATTTATTATTTTTGTTGTAAGCGACTCGTTACTAATTCTCAAATGTCAAAGCGAAAGAAGGATTTTGTGAGGGTAATGGCTGATTTTAATTGTGAATGGTGGACGCGAAATGCATGATTTGATTAAAAACGAAAATCTATTTTAATAAAAGTATGACTTTATAAAAACAAAATCTTCATGGTTGAGTAACTTCGAAAGGGTAGAGATGAATGTAGATGGCAGTGACTGAATTATTTGTACTGTGTCATAAATAAAGTTAACTGTGTGCACGCACATCACATGTTGTTCATGCCTGATGTGAAATTTCATTGTGATTTGATGCGCTCAAAATGCAATGCCACTGTTTTGTATGTACACCTCAACGATAGCTACATTCAAAACATAAGTTCCCTTATTTATTTTCGGTAGTACAAGAAGTTTTGTATGGTATGTTTTCCTGTACATACCCTACGCAGACGTCTACGACAACCATACCCTAGGTGGCACCTCATGCCAGGAAAAGGCAGGATTTGATGAGTACAGTTTGTGATATGGAACTTCAATTATTCACATTCTGTGATCATGTGAATTAAAAAATATTGCTAAGTTATGCTGACTGGCAGAAAACAACAATCAAATTTGGGAACAACTCAAAGTTATCTTAAATGCTTCAAAACAACAAAGAAGTAGTATTTTTGTAAGTTTTTATTGGGAAAAAGAACTTGTATAATTACTGATTCAAAATATCAGTATTTGATCTTATTTACCATAAAGAAAACAACAATTATGCCCTTAAATGGAAAATAATGATTACAAAACATTCATGGCATTTTTGTGTGAATAAATACATGAACATAAAGTGTTCCAACAAAAAAGATGTAACATTCATAGTGACAACATAAAATAAAATAAAGTATTGCACAAAATTGACAATATAATGTTGATAGTGATACATTTTTCAGTGAACATCTTCTTGGACTGATCATGTAAAAGCCCTTTTAAAATACAAGTCCAATCATCACAACAATCTCTAATGATTAGTATGTACAAAAAATATCCATTAAAAGTTCTTTGATAATGAAAACTGAAAGAGGAATCATCAATTGTATCCAGAACAGTATGGACTCTTGTCTCAAGGCACAGACATTCTTAACATTTCCCTTGACCTAAATTTGATAACTCGGCAAAGACAATAAAACACCAACATATCTGCCCCAGGAATGAAATTGTTACAATATTGATAATTAAACCAAAATCTGTTGCAGTTATCATACATTGACAGAAACAGTGAAACGCTTAATTTACACATAAATCAAAACGAAAATAAACATGTACACTGACCAGTCCAGTTCCTGAACAATTTGCAGCTTACTTGGTCACAGAGAGAAAATACATTCGATTAAAAGCTTGAAAACTTGAAAATTAATTTAGAATAAATATTCTTGGAAACTTAAAATAAACACTGCATGAATCTCCTTATCAACATTTACACAAACCAATCTTATAACACATGAATAACAGGACTATTTGATACTTCAGTATTATGCTAATGGAGAGTCTTATCTGTGAGATATACTGTTATCTCCCTTGATGTGAACACAGCAGTTATCTCCCCTTACTACTGCCATACTGGTTATCAGATATTTTATATAGCACTATAGATAATCAAAATAGTTGCAATCAATGGCTATTGACAGTGAATGGGACAGTGAGATTCATCACAAATATTATGCACCATACTTTCACTTAGTGAAGTAGAAGAGAAATGATTTTGAGGAGTACACCTTGCAGATACATTGCTTGACACGTGACTAGATGCGGGGGGATTCCTGACAGTCATACTGTAGAAGCCTTGTCTACTTCCATATGGCTACAAAGTTGTCTGATCAAGGCCATATCTAACATGAAAAGCAATACTATCAGCTCAATTTGAGAAATGTTATGTTCATAATAAAACTATAAATACAAAAGAAAACAGACATACATATAAATAAATATGCACATACATATATACACAATATGTATCTATATAAATGAATAGTTTGAAATAAATAGTCTTAAATAATATAAAATTGATCCCCTATATTTTCCTTCATATCACTGAAAGTTTTTCAGTTCTGGAATGAAGTATTTCTTATAGGGTGTCATAATATTGACCTCATACAAATACCCTTGCAGTAATTTAATCTAAAATGATACTGTGAACTCTGGTGACCTTTTAACCCTAAAGCCAGTTCTACATTGAATTCTTGATACGAGGAGGTAAAAAGTTAGATAAATTGGTGACTGGAATCAAAACTTAACTAGACTTAGTGTAGCTCTGGAATAACATAAATGTCTTCATAAATTACATCAATTGGTACAGATATCCGTTTCAGTATCATAAAGCATGAGAGACGATTTCTTCATGGACAGCAAGGATGAAATGCATTGTGTACTGTGAGGCCTCATGACACCCTTTAAGGACAGGCATGACTCTCTTCACGTTTGACATATTCGACACCTGGCCCTGTTCCACAAGGCGATCATAGCTACGACTATCAAACTTGTATTCTTCAAAATAGAAGCGTAGCTACGATTGCACTGAGAAGGCACCTGTTCCTGTTATAACCCCTGCAATTTTTTCAGAATTGATAAAATAATCCTAAACAGCAATCTCTGTAACAAGCACAGATACAGCAATTTGGAAAAGAGGGGTGGGGAGTACAGACTTTTTGAAAAAAAAAAAAAATTATATGTTCTGGAATTAGGTGCAATTGAAACAAAAACAATGCTAGATCAATGCAAATAACAATTTGTCAACCAAACAAGGAAACTAATAGTTATTTTTGTGAAGAAACATTTCACCAAATGATTCCATCTTTGAAAACATAACATGATCAGTATGCTTCTCAAGTGCACGACACCACACCTCTGGATCTGTGTACAGCTGATATTGACAATTTTTAATTTATATTAACTTAAATCAACTTTCCAAGAGAGCAGGTATTTCAATATGTCAAACAAGAAAAAATATTCTTACCTGATCAACAAAAACTGTTCAAATACTTTTTGTTAAATAAACTGATGGTGACAACCCTACACAGCAGAGGTTGACACAACACTGCGTCAAGTGACACTGCAGTAGTACACTGGGCCTCTTGCTAACCACTTGGAATGTAGGGGTGAAACGACATATCGGTGCATCGTGAGTTTTCATCTGACGATACGATACGATACGATATACGATACGTTGTTTTTGTATCGATACAAGACGATACACTTGCTGATATAAATTACTTGTTTAATGACCCCTGGTGTTTTCGTCAGTCAGATATCACGAAATGTGTTGTAATTGGTGTTTCAAGTTCACTACTAAAAATAGCTGCTACGAACATGTGTCTTCAGCTAGTTTTTCCTTTTGAAACTGCCCTGAAATTTTTATTGTCAAGAAGTTTCCATGCAATTTGACGTACATATGCCTATCGCATTATGTATCGTATTGTATCGTGACCTAAATATCGTATCGTGCCTTGCTGTATCGTTTCACCCCTATTGGAATGCTTCATAAACATCTGTATTGTTACTGCTAGTTCTGGTAATATCAAGTGTCACATGACATATCTTCATAGAAGAAATAAATATATATATAATGACTGGTGTGGACACGACTAAGTGTCCACGTGCAGAGGGAGTACAGAATCTGGATCGCAGTACAACAATGAAGATTGAGTGAGCACCAACAAGTCCACACAACTGGCTGACATGGCCACCATTCCAAGGTTCAACACTGACAGTTGGACAACTATCTACATTTCAGAATAAAAAAGTACATAATTTAATTATATTATTTAATTTAATTCCATATCATATAAAGATTTAGGCCAAACATTTTACTTGAAGTACTTATTAGATTTTGAAGATTAAGTCCGATTTAATCTTTCCTAATTTTCCCCTCAAAAGAAAAAAAAGAAAGAAAAAAATTCGGTGCACCCCAAAAATACCTACAAGCAGTGGCCAGATCTGTGCGTGTTCCTGAGAATGCTGTATGTTGCCAGTGCACAGATACACAAGATATGTAGCAGCATGTAGTTCTACCATCCTACTCTACTCTAGTCTACGACCGCAGTTAAAGGTACACACACTCCAAGGCACTTTCTAGAGAAATGTATGGCACCCTTGACCCCTATCCATCTACACAACACTAGATGCTCCTCCAGCCAGGCTCTGTGGCTAGCCACAACAATGACTCAGCTGACATCGATGAATCAGGACAACTCTACTTTCTTTCATTCATATTCTGACCCCAGCCCCATTCTACAAAGCAATCTTAGCACTAAAGTGATTGTAACTCCCATGCCTTAACATTGGCTTACGATGGTCACAGCGCTAAAACTGATTTGTTGAACAGGGCCCTGGCCTCCATTTTGTTTAATCAAATGATTCTTTTAAAAAATAGAAATTCTTAAAGAATATTAAATATTCAAATAAGCATATTGTATAAGAACACATTCTGTAACCCTAAAACAATCACCTCATAACAGAGCACATTTTGGTTCAACCTATGAGAGCTTGTGTTACAAACTGCTGTATGATTCAACCAATATAAAACAATGAAAGCGCAATATGTTTGATGAAGCCTGGCTGGGGGAATCACCAATTGGAACAGTCTGGAAATGCATGAGCTGCTCTGAGAGCCAATCAAATCATCTCATGAATTGAGCATATTAGATATAATGTGATAACAACATGCACCAGTGTGTAATAATGCACAATATAACATAGCTTCCACTCTATATAGAACTGTAGGTATATAAACATCTGAAAAAATAGGACAATCTCTTTCCACTTACATCTGCTTCAGAGGCCAACCTGTACTGGTGCATGCTGGGACGGTCTGCCTCTGAAGCAGACGGACACACGTCACGCTACATTCTGCTCCTACAAGGACATCACCAACATACAACTACAAGAAAAATAATTCTCAGGACCTTTCTCATTCAAATGTCAAATTCTGTTTAAAAATCAATATTTTTTTTTTTTTTTTTTTAAAACCCAACATGTACAGTTGTAGATAAATCATTAACTCAGAAGCAGTGTCAGAAGTTAGTGGTGAAATGTAGCAAGAAATATTTTCTTTGTAAAACGTACCATTGAGCCCAGGTTGTGGAGGATGTCTTGTGGGAGCAAAGTGCAGCACCAATATAAACACGAAGCATAACATACACAAGGCAGTGAGGACAACGCAATACCACTTCCCAGAAAACAGAAGTAACTTGCAACCAACAAGATTATGCTGACAGTATGTACAAACAGTAGGACGGTTCAGACACTGCTCAAGTTAAACGTTACATTTGCAGAAGATAGACAGTGATGTTTCTAGTGGACAGAAAGACGGTAGATGACACGATCTAGTCTACGTAAACATCTATATTAGTATCTGGTTACTGTGAGAATCGGGGAGCTAGGACAACACTTTCCAATGTGCCACGGCTCCCAGAGCTAATAGACAGTACTGTTAGTAAAGTGTGAAATGAGTATGTCGTGAGCAGGCCAGGGTTGGATCACGTGTACAGATTTACCTGCCTCGCTCTTCATAGAAAAAGGCAGGAAATTGTGAAGATGAATATTATGTGTCAGATACATGCAGAATCCCGCCACCACCATTGTTACAGAGTTGACAGCGCCCCCTGCTGGTCACTAATGATGCAGATCTCCCAACACACTAATTCCTAGCCTCTTATCATAAAAGTAGGCACCAAGCCTTGCATGGTCCCTGCATCGAATCAAGTCACCAGGAAGAAGTGATGTCAAATCTGACGCAAGGGGGCTGTTGTTTCGAGGAAATCCAACATAAAATATTTCACCCCTTTAATTAATTTAATTCTCCCAAACAAAGTAATAATATATATATATATAAAGCTTTGACAACATTTGTGACTTGTATATGATCTAAACAGTGTCCACTAATCATATCAGGTTTACCGGTAATAAAACTAAAAATGGATTCTTAAAGAAATTATATTGGTTCAAAATGGTTGAAATAATGACTTCTTTGCAGCAGATAATAATTTCAAGTTCTGCTGAGCTACTATTTCAGAATGGACTCATGCTTAGTCAGCTGTGTGGAACGTCCTCAGATGTACTTAGACACTGGTAGCCACTTAGAAAATTCTTTCTCACATTTTAACCAGTATCCCTCAAGACAACAGCCCCTCATACGGATTCTGACAAGTTTTTTCACATTATGTCTTCAATCAACAATCAATGTACAAATAAATTATACGAATCTGAAAAAACTTCCATATAAAATGATTCAAATCACACACACAAACTTGAGGTAAAGAATTCCACTGTCATGAAAGTTGAGGACAAACCGATCTGAATAATACATCTTTGTAAACTCCCTTTTGAAAAGAAAACAAACTTACATCCAAGCTATTCCCATAGATGGGCGTGGGAAGAATGAGAACCAAGGCATATATTGTAAGCGTATGAGAGGAGTGTGACAGTGGGAGGGTGAAGTGAGTACCTGATGGCCGCCCTACCGCCGTGCGACATCACCTACCCGTGGGATCCTTCTTCCAGGTCGACAAATGAAGGCATCAGACTAAAAATACAAGGCCAAAGGTCAGAGGATGGGTCAGTGAATGAAAACAAAACTTAAAATGTCGACAAAAGAAAGAGTTTGGGAACAATGGCCAACAAAAATTGACAACTTTCACAAAACTTTACCATGAAGAGTTAAACGGATGCAAGGCAGCGGTGAATCTGTCGCAAGTTTTCTAGTATTTCCAGTATTGTGGTACTTGATCTAGCAAATGATGCATTGTTATTAATGAGAGAAATGAAGTAGTTCTGGCATAGTTTATAATTAACAGTGGGACTTATTCCACAGATTGTGGTTAGTAAACCAAAGACAGCTGTGAGGTAGAGGCTAGGTGCTGATCAGTGTTATAACACAGACAGCCATCGAAATTGACACTAGTCCAAGAGACAACTCAATGCAATGATAGTAGGCTAGTAGGCTAGTAGCATTTGAGGGCTGTAATTTTGTACCAACTCTCAATGCCTCATTTTTTGGCTACAATTTGCTTGGCTAAAACTGATTTCTGGGTTTTGTTTAAGCAGGACTGGCTAAACACTCTGCTTACTAGTGTAATATGGTTTACTTTAGTCCTTTGACTAGTCCAGAAAAAACAACAATTTTCTAAGGCTGAAAAGATACCTGGTGATTGAAGCTAGTTCAAATTGCACAACCCTTTCCTACAAAAATACTTAAGTCATCACATAATTAGCTGACTAGACTTGAACATGAGACAGATTGTTTATATGGCACACATCAGGCAAACGTAAGGAGAAATGTTCGCTGAATAACTTAAAAATCCTTGGAATTAGCATAAATACACGTGGTAAAACTGCTGTCCACTCTGCGATATCTCAAGAGTCAAAAACAACATAGCACAACCGCACTTGAGGTTTCCGTACAATAAAACTGCCACATATGCAACGTCTTCCAGCGCAACAAACTACACAGCTCTGCCACACTTCACGTTTTCATACAATAAAAGGTTTGATATGCTCTAAGTTTTTGTTGATACTGATCAGAAACATGACTATCTACTATGAAGCTGATAGACACAGTACATGGAGCCATAGCGCTACTACATGATAGGAGCCTATGGGCATTGTATACGGAGTCTATGGGCATTGTATACGGAGTCTACAAAAGCTACAACATACTTGTGCTCGCAAGAGTTGATACATGGAGCCTCATGGACGTACTACATGGAACCAGCGCTGACGGAGCCTCATGGACGTACTACATGGAACCAGCACTGACGGAGCCTCATGGATGTACTACATGGAACCAGCGCTGACAGAGCCTCATGGATGTACTACATGGAACCAGTGCTGACAGAGCCTCATGGATGTACTACATGGAACCAGCACTGACGGAGCCTCATGGATGTACTACATGGAACCAGCGCTAACAGAGCCTCATGGATGTACTACATGGAACCAGCGCTAACAGAGCCTCATGGATGTACTACATGGAACCAGCGCTGACGGAGCCTCATGGATGTACTACATGGAACCAGCACTGACGGAGCCTAATGGATGTACTACATGGAACCAGCGCTGACGGAGCCTAATGGATGTACTACATGGAACCAGCGCTGACGGAGCCTCATGGATGTACTACATGGAACCAGCACTGACGGAGCCTAATGGATGTACTACATGGAACCAGCGCTAACAGAGCCTAATGGATGTACTACATGGAACCAGCACTGACGGAGCCTAATGGATGTACTATGTGGAGCCAAAGCGCAAACGGAGCCTAATGGATGTACTACATGGAACCAGCGCTGACAGAGCCTCATGGATGTACTACATGGAACCAGCGCTAACAGAGCCTAATGGATGTACTACATGGAACCAGCGCTGACGGAGCCTAATGGATGTACTACATGGAACCAGCGCTAACAGAGCCTCATGGATGTACTACATGGAACCAGCACTGACGCAGCCTCATGGATGTACTACATGGAACCAGCACTGACGGAGCCTAATGGATGTACTACATGGAACCAGCGCTAACAGAGCCTAATGGATGTACTACATGGAACCAGCACTGACGGAGCCTAATGGATGTACTATGTGGAGCCAAAGCGCAAACGGAGCCTAATGGATGTACTACATGGAACCAGCGCTGACAGAGCCTAATGGATGTACTACATGGAACCAGCGCTAACAGAGCCTAATGGATGTACTACATGGAACCAGCGCTGACGGAGCCTAATGGATGTACTACATGGAACCAGCGCTAACAGAGCCTAATGGATGTACTACATGGAACCAGCACTGACGCAGCCTCATGGATGTACTACATGGAACCAGCGCTGACGGAGCCTCATGGATGTACTACATGGAACCAGCGCTGACGCAGCCTCATGGATGTACTACATGGAACCAGCGCTGACGGAGCCTAATGGATGTACTACATGGAACCAGCGCTAACAGAGCCTAATGGATGTACTACATGGAACCAGCACTGACGGAGCCTAATGGGTGTACTATGTGGAGCCAAAGCGCAAACGGAGCCTAATGGATGTACTACATGGAACCAGCGCTGACAGAGCCTAATGGATGTACTACATGGAACCAGCGCTAACAGAGCCTAATGGATGTACTATGTGGAGCCAAAGCACAAACGGAGCCTAATGGATGTACTACATGGAACCAGCGCTGACGGAGCCTAATGGATGTACTACATGGAACAAGCGCTAACAGAGCCTAATGGATGTACTATGTGGAGCCAAAGCTCTGATGGAGCCTAATGGATGTACATGGAACAAGCTCTGATGGAGCCTAATGGATGTACTACATGGAGCCAAAGTGCTACAAGGTGGATCTATAACTCTATTAGAACATGATTCATGACATCTCTGGGACTCCACAGGGCAGCATCTTTCTGTATCATATCGTGTCTAAAATATACACTGATATACACATACGTCAGTATCACCATGGAACTCTACTGTAGGCTACCAACTTAGAAGCTAAACCCGTTGAAAATATAAAGGATATATGACTTCATAATCAAAACAGCAAAATAAAATTTGATAGTTTTCTTGTCCAAGTCCACTGTTGTACAGTCTGTCAATATCACTAAGACAATGTCATACTTAACTTGAACACCAACAAGTCTAACAATTATAGGACCATGTACAGAAATAGTTGCACAGTACATCACATCAATTGAACAAGAGGAACCGCTCATGGAGTGTTCCAACACCGTTAGGTCGAGGCAAATCAAATGTGTTGTCTTGCGGGAAGGTCCCTGACTTACTCTGCACCTTGTGTTGCAGCTTTCGCAGAAGCTCAGAGGCTGGGGTGTTGAGGGCAAAACCAGAGTGGAAAAAGCCCATGGCGGGGTCGAAGTGGGGGCTGCCGTTTAGGTAGGGCTGGAACCAAGGCAATCCGCTGCTACTCTGCTTAGGGGCTCCCAGCCCTAAGGCACTGAGTGGGGCACTCTCCGATTTGGCTGCTGCTGCTGCTGTTGTTGTTGATGTAGAGGCAGATGTGATGCTGCTGTTTGAAGAATTACTGTCAGAGGCTGTGCTTACTACGGCTGTTGCTGTGGATGATGTAGCTGTTGAGGATGATGTGGAGGTGACAGCTGCTGTTTGCTTTTGGCTCGAAGTTGTTTCCCGTGGCTTCTTCTGACGAAGGAGGTGTCTCTCCTTGACTTTGTACTCAAGCGTGGAGTGAGGCACCCCGAAGTAGCTGCCAGCTCGATGGACGCTCATCTCCCCCCGCTGCACCGCACGCACAGCCTCCATTAACAACTGACTGTTGTACTTGCGATACTGACCTCGCTTTGGCCTCGTCTTCTTGAGTGTCGAGGATGACAAGAAGCTTTTGTCCTTGTCCGAGTCCTTCTTGTGTCGTTTCGGTGGCGATGGAGATGAGTGTGATGTGGTGTAAGCGTGAGGCGGGGCCAGCGTGATGGGGGTGCTGGCATGAGAGCTCATATCATCTGGGCTCACCTTGTAGAGGTCCTCCGGAGTTGCAGTCCCAGAACTATCTTCACGTGTTTCACGAAAACGGATTTTCTCATTGATAGATCTAACAATGATATTCTTGAGTGTTTCGCCTATCGTGCTGCTTTCGTATACCTTGGCCATGGGTTTGTCTGGCAAGGTGTGGTTGTCCTTGGTGCCATTAACCGGCTTGTAGGACGGAATGCGGATGTCAGCCAGACTTGCAGCTGTCATGCCGAGGCACGTGGCGGTCGAGGGGAGGGAGGATGGCAGAAATGGGTTCTTCATGGTTAATCCATCAATTAGAGAATTTTCTACACAAACATCAGGCTCTGCTTTAATGGTGACTGAGGCACTTTGGCGCTCCATAGCTAGTCGTTGTTCTACCATTCTACGAATCAAGTCCACCAAAAGAGGCATTTTCAGTTCGTTGGCATGTGCAGGAGTTCGTAAGTTATCATGAGATCCATCAAGATTATGTTTACGACGGAGTAATTCAACCCTTCTTACGAATTCTTCCTCTTGTTCCTCAAGGTCGAAGTCTTTCCTGAAGGGTAGTGCGAATGGGAGAGGGGGCAGCGTGTAGGTGAAAGCGCTGGCCTGCATGAGATCAGCCAGCTTCATGCTGTGTCCCTCCAGGCTCAGGAGATCCTCTGCGGAACTCGAATCTTCCTGCTCCATGTCAGGCTGAAGGGCATCCTCACTCTCCAGTTTGAAGATCTTGTTCCTCAATGTGGACCGTGGGATTCCATACAACATGGCCGCTCTCCTTGTACCAAGCTTCCCGCTGCGGATGTCGTGAACAGCTGCTGTCAGTTCGTCATCTGTGTACGACTTCTTGCCGTTCACAGTGCAGTCCTTTTTGTGTTTACTGAAATATACCAAAATTTGGTTATTTTGTGCACATCAAATCTTGAAAAAAATATATCTATCTTCAAACCATTATAAGAAATACATAAGACAAATGTATTTACAAAACCTCATCAACAAGACTTACTTCTTCACAGCCTTGATGAACGAGAAACATGTTTGCATTACAAGCACAAATAGAAGCAGCCCTAAATGTACCATTATCTATCATCACCTGACCATGTCTACCGCATCAGGTGACCCTTGACCTTACACAAGCCCAATGCAGTATGACTTAAACAGAAAAGCCTATGCATCTAGCTACCTTAAAAACATAGTTAGGAGTACTTCCTGTTTATAACATTACTGCTGGTTTGGGAAGACACATGGCCAATGCAATAGAACTTTCCAACAGAAAGTCCCATACCTCTAGCTAGCCAGATTCAATAAGATGCTTAGATTTCTGATGGATTAATCTAAAATTCGTCAGAGCTCCAGATAACTTTTTCAGCAAGTGAGTTTTTACTCGAAGGTTTCTATTTTAATTGGGTTATTACATTTTTCATTGGGTAACCAATATTTTTTTCACTCATCTATTCAGCACTCGATTGGGTTTTTCCCAAAATGAGTAAGCATTTTGAGATTTTAAAAAAAAGGAAATTATGTTTTCGATGTAATATAACGGTTCTAAATACAGGCTTGACTCGGAAAGTAAATTAGCTTGTAATTGTGTTTCGGAAATTAGCTCCGTTGTATGCATGATGAAAAAGCTTCACTGGGTATTCACATGTGCTGTTTTCAAACAATTGAGTTTTTCATTTAATGCATGCGTTTCTGTACACAAGTTAATTGAAAGTAATTGGGTTTTGAAAAGTTTTGGGGGGTATTTTATGCAAATACGCAGTTTATCGGTAGCGCTGAATTTGTGATATCTGATCTTGACCTTACACAAAGTTCACCCAAAAACTTGATACAATTAAGACCCAGCCTCAGAAATTACCAAGGTTCACACAAGCCTTTTGAAGCTTAGTTCATACAGAGTGACCCTGACCTTCAAGGTGACCCTGACCTTCAAGGTCATCCAATCATATGTCGGAATAGTTTCCCAAGGGGTATATAGGAGACATATCAGGTCTGCAGTCTCTAACATCTGTCATAAGCACATGGTTGTGAAAATTGATTGATCAAATTCGAGCACACACATCAAGCACAACTAAAAAATCCATCAGAGGTAGACGTGACCAACCTGGCGTGTAGTGGTATGTGTGGTATCTTAAGCTCTACATGAGGCTTAGCAGACGGCACTGAAACCTCACTGTCCTCTCCTGCCGTTGGCGTCTGCTTACTCCCCACAGAAGAGTCAAGGCGATCTCTGCCTAGTCCGTGTGTGTAGAACTGAGGGCAGTAGGGCAGGAGCTCTTGTAGTAGTCGAACACCTGACACAGATAGTTAAGTTACAGGGGCTGTGATGGGGCAGTCAAACACTTGACATATAGCAGCATCTCAGTGAATCTCAGTGCATCTCATGGAAACTATTGTTAATTTTACCTTGTACATAAACTTGGCAGACAGAAGTCTTTTAATGAATCACACAATGTAAAAGATTCAAAAGGTTCACCAGTCTACTCACTGGGATTGTCCTGTTCCGACCGTCCATTCTTGACATCTTCTGCCAACCGACTGACAACATCCTGCAACAAACATAGGACAAGTCTAACATGCAGAGCCCATATGGTGAGGCAGACTACGTATTTCTCAATACATAAGGGTGCATAAATATAAAACAACAACGCCAGACAATATTCAGTCAAGATTATCTGCCGAAACAGATTCCATTTGGTGCAAAAGGGAAAGAGGTGAAAATTCTATGAACGGATGAAAATCAGTGATGATACCAGGTGACAAGGGTTAGCATGTCCTGTAGTGGTGTAACGATACGGCGATACAGTATTGTATCCCGATGCACAGCCCACGATATGATGCATCGATTTGGAAAGCATGTATCACGATACATACGATATTTTCATAACACAGTTTTACTTACCGTATTTTCTGAAGAAGGGGGTGCGCATTATACACGAATTAATGAGTTTTGATGTTTTTTCCCCCATGGAAAGACATTACCGTGAGCACGTAACACCGGAAATACCATGTCAACAAATCCATACTGAAGTTCGCAAATTATTCATGTAATTACACTGTCTGGCTATAAAAAGTGTTCTTTGTATATCTGGACTTTTGTTTGTAACTTATTTCATTAATTTTATTCAAAATTCCTTTTAATATTGTTTGAATTAATTTCAGCGAAATCGTGTGTGAAGCGATCGGAAGATCGCACAACTCACCGTTATAAACAGCAACCACGGTCAGATTACCGCCATTGACGCCTTGAAACGAACTTTAGTTGACAGAGAATGGATACATATATCCTAAATGCCATACTTTGATTCGTTAAAAGTCATATTTGTTTTTGTTGGACGATTCTATGTCAACACGTAATTCTCACGATCAAGCGATCACGTGCACGGGAGCCTTGACGGTGACTGGTCAGACTGGTTGCATGTAAAAAATAATACCCGGCAATAGCGATCAGCTGCTTCGCTTAGGGTTATTATTATTTTAAATATGTTTAGTAAAAGCTGCATCTAAATTAACAAGATATTGGAATATATTATTCCTGATAAAAAAAAAGTTTCAGATACAACTTTTGCCGATCCTTGCATTAAAATCCTGTAAAGATATATCATTGGGTGTGTCTTGACCGAATCACCGGTAGATTCCAAGAAAACGTGTGAACAGCTGATTGCTGTGTCCGGCTTAGTTTACGAGAAAATACACAAGGTAATCTTAATCCCTGGATATAAAACAATGCCTAGCTGAACAAAAAATACAATTTGAACGGTAAATCAACATGTCTGGTGATTTCTTATCTCAAATTTCGTATCCCTGTATCTCGACCCTCCCGTATCGTTACACCTCTAATGTCCTGCCCTTCATGGGTGTGTAAAATATGTCCTTTTGTGAGTGAGTGAGTGAGTGAGTGAGTGTGGTTTTACGACATTTTTAAGCAATATTTCAGCAATATCACGGCGGGGGACACCAGAAATGGGCTTCACACAATGTACCCATGTCGGGAATCGAACCCGGGTCTTCGGCGTCAAGAGCGAACGCTTTAACCACTAGGCTAACCGACCGCCCTCTATTAAATATATCAGTATACATATAATTATTGCTTTCCAATGTATTTGATCTGTCATATTCATCACTAGAGCAAAAGGGTTCGTCCACTTACGTCTATCAAGGGCAGCTTGCCCTCACAGTAAAAACATTCTTCTTCCGGAACCCAGTCAGAGATCTCTTCTGGCTCAAGACCTGTAGAAGACATGTCAAAGGTCATCTCAAGACTACATTCATGCTAAACATAGCAGTGATGATAGTTGTCTACATGGGATGTGACTATAGTCAATGAACCTGGCATCATCTTGTTGGTTGGTTGTTCTACCTACACTCAGCAATACAAGATGGCAGCCTGATAATAATCAAGTCTGGACCAGCCAATCCAGTGATTGTTATTGTGAGCAACAATCTTGGGAACAAGTGTGTTTCTATTCAGTGAGTATATACTGGGGAAACATACACCTCTGTCTCTATTCAGTGAGTATATACTGGGGAAATATACACCTGTGTTTCTATTCAGTGAGTATATACTGGGGGAAATATACACCTGTGTGTTTCTATTCAGTGAGTATATACTGGGGAAATACACACCTGTGTGTTTCTACTCAGTGAGTATATACAGGGGAAATATACACCTGTGTGTTTCTACTCAGGGAAATATACATCTGTGTGTTTCTATTCAGTAAGTATATACTGGGGAAATATACACTGAGTGTGTTTCTACTCAGTGAGTATATACTGGGGAAATATACACTGAGTGTGTTTCTACTCAGTGAGTATATACTGGGGAAATATACATCTGTGTGTTTCTATTCAGTAACTATATACTGGGGAAATATACACTGAGTGTGTTTCTACTCAGTGAGTATATACTGGGGAAATATACACTGAGTGTTTTTCTACTCAGTGAGTATATACTGGGGAAATATACACTAAGTGTGTTTCTATTCAGTGAGTATATACTGGGGAAATATACACTGAGTGTGTTTCTACTCAGTGAGTATATACTGGGGAAATATACACAAGTGTGTTTCTATTCAGTGAGTATATACTGGGGGAAATATACACCTGTGTGTTTCTATTCAGTGAGTATATACTGGGGAAATATACACCTGTGTGTTTCTATTCAGTGAGTATATATGGGGGAAATATACACCTGTGTGTTTCTATTCAGTGAGTATATACTGGGGAAATATACATCTGTGTGTTTCTATTCAGTGAGTATATACTGGGGAAATATACACCTGTGTGTTTCTATTCAGTGAGTATATACTGGGGAAATATACACAAGTGTGTTTCTATTCAGTGAGTATATACTGGGGAAACATGCACCTGTTTGTTTCTATTCAGTAATTATATACTGAGGAAATATACACCAGTGTTTCTATTCAGCGATTATATACAGGGGGAAATATACACTGAATGTTTCTATTTAGTAAGTATATACTGGGGAAATATACACAAGTGTGTTTCTATTCAGTGAGTATATACTGGGGAAATATACACAAGTGTGTTTCCATCCAATGAGTATATACTGGGGAAATATACACAAGTGCGTTTCTATTCAGTAATTATATACTGAGGAAATATACACCAGTGTTTCTATTCAGCGATTATATACGGGGGGAAATATACACTGAATGTTTCTATTTAGTAAGTATATACTGGGGAAATATACACAAGTGTGTTTCCATCCAATGAGTATATACTGGGGAAATATACACAAGTGTGTTTCCATCCAATGAGTATATACTGGGGAAATATACACAAGTGCGTTTCTATTCAGTGAGTATATACTGGGGAAATATACACAACCGTGTTTCTATTCAGTGAGTATATACTGGGGAAATATACACTAAAGTACTCACAGAAATGAAAAAAACATGTTTTTTCGATCTCAGATTTTAAACAAACGGAGTTAATATACAAAATATATGAATATTCAAACAACTCAATTAGTTCTAATTGGGCCTTGGCACAAATACAGCGTATCAAAGGTTTTTATGTCTTTTTACACGTAAAAGTGTGTAAAAATATGAACAAAACAGACTATTGTGAAACTGAGCATAACCAGGTGTTAGTAGATCAAGGTGAATGTCCATGACCTATGACACCTTGACGACAGGTGAAAACAGGTGCTTGAAACCCACGTGCATGTGATTTGTCAGTGGCATTGTCATGATTGTGGTATAGTGAATCATCGTCAAAATATCAGAACGTAAAAGTAACATATTCCCTTCTCAAACAACAACTTACATGTCATTATTATTATGTACATAAACATAGCTGTTATTTTTATTGTTGTTTTGATAACTTTTTTCCAGGCTAATTTGCATAATGCCTATAGCCTGTTTCTGCCATGTCAATTTGGACTTAGTTTTATTTTTGAATGTTGAAAGTGCCTACAAATTACCTCCTGTAAAGTACATTTTGTATTGAGCACTGAGATAAAACTAGCAATCCAGACTAGTACTTTTCCAGTTTTGTTATTTCGTATTTACATCTACGTAATGCTTTATGTCGATTATTGAATCCAGCAAAACAGGTTTTTTTCATTTCCATGAGTACTTTAGTGCATTTCTATTCAGTGAGTATATACTGGGGAAATATACAGTGTGTCTCTATTCAGTGAGTATATACTGGGGAAATATACAGTGTGTCTCTATTCAGTGAGTATATACTGGGGAAATATACAGTGTGTCTCTATTCAGTGAGTAGATACGTACTGAGGAAATATACAGTGTGTCTCTATTCAGTGAGTATATACTGGGGAAATATACAGTGTGTCTCTATTCAGTGAGTATATACTGGGGAAATATACAGTGTGTCTCTATTCAGTGAGTAGATACGTACTGAGGAAATATATGCACCAGTGTGAGTATATACTGGGGAAATATACAGTGTGTCTCCATTCAGTGAGTATATACGTACTGGGGAAATATATGCACCAGTGTGTTTCTATTCAGTGAGTATATACTGGGGGAAATATACACTCAGTGTTTCTATTTAGTGAGTATATACTGGGGGAAATATACACTCAGTGTTTCTATTTAGTGAGTATATACGGGGGAAATATACAGTGTGTCTCTAGTCAGCGAGTTTATTTCCTGTCTCATGGAGAGATTAATTATTTTTGTTTAAAATTATCTGTGATTCCAAAATAAGTAATAAGAGCCCTTGGCAGGCTATTTTAAGAAACAGATATTTGCAAAATTCATATTTTCGTAAGTTCAGAGGTATAAGATGGCATTCAAAACAAATGTAAAACAAAACATATAAGCCTCTCCCTCTTAATGGTCAGTGAAACTGAAATACAATTTACCACTTAAAGCTATAACATTAGTAATAACCATATAATATGAACTGGGAAATTATCAATGTCATTTTCAAAGGTGTTTTTTACATTTGCTTCAAACATGTCAAACTTGGGGCTGAATATCAGCCTCTGAGCAGGACTAGATAAATGTAATTTCAACTTCTTAAAACATGTGTACTACTTAGACTCATTTGAGAAAATAAAGACTGTAGGAACTGTAGGTAATTTAGCTGCTCAGCAGTTTCACAACAGTTAATGATGCTATAATATATTTATGACTCACATCACAACTGCCTGTACAAAATCTGGGCCAAGCCAGGAATGTGATGCACACACGTGGATTACCATCAAAGTCTTATCAAGGATTCCTAACTAAGTGCCTTTGTTACAAAATGGGAAAACGACTGTTATTTTTAACAAAACTGAGATCTTCTGCTTTCTTAACACTGTATATTAACATTACATTCAGAATTGTATTTGTTACTTTGTACAACATTGACATCTATTTTCTTCAATTCAGAGTTTTCTTAACACTGTATGTTAACATTACATTCAGAAATGTAATACTAAGCATCGGAAAAAAATCAGAAAAACAACTGTTACTTTGTACAACATTGAGATCTATTTTCTTCAATTCAGAGTTTTCTTAACACTGTATATTAACATTACATTCAGAAATGTTATATTAAGCATCAGAACCTCTGCTTCCTTATGGGTCCCCATATCTGCACTACAAGTTGAGTCAGCTTAATGTTGGAGGAAAGACATGGAGTGAGCATTATTTATAAACCTGGCATTGGTGTAAAAAAAATTATTTAAAGCTTATAGTGTTTTATATATACTACTCAACTTTTGATAGGGATTTCTATTAAAAGACACACTTGACATAATCATAAGATTTAAGAATCAATTTTTGTGTATCATGGAAAGACAAAAACATCCCCATCAATATTGAGGTCATGGAATACGGATAATCATACGACTGAAATTTTAACTCAGTCACTACATATAAACAAAGCATATTAGAATTGTTTCATACATTCATACATTTGATACACGCACAACCAAAAACTGGTTTTTGCATTGTTCAAATGGACAAGGGCCCCAAACAGCCTCTCCTACATCAAGATGTTCAAAGTTAACGATAATGAGAAAAGAAGAAAAACGTATCAGTTCCATCACAAATCAAACACAAACTGTCAAATGGTGTCTGCTGAATTAGTCCCTAATGTGGTGGCCATGTTTTAGACGGCAACGTTAGGTCAGCACTGCACCGACTCTCGGGAACCTCCCTTGACATCTCATTTGTTGCTGTTGCCATGGCAACAGGTATTTTGGAGCCACTTTAGCAAGCCATTAACAATGAAAAATAGTTTATTTGAGACACAAGAAACGCAAACGAGCGTAGTTGAACTTCATCATAACATTAGATCAAAGATACCAGACTGTAAGAACTGGTTTTTGATGTTTATGTGATGAGAGAGCCAACTTGTATCTACATATCACAATAATCAATAACTGTAGGCCGCAGTATACTGTTTGTTAACATATCTTAAATCTAAATAGCTTAATGAATTTAATCAATTAGGTTAATGAACCAAGGTTTCCGCTGTCTGATCTGAAGTATAAAGTCAGCATACTTACTATTAAACTGATCAAGGACAGGCCGTAGAACATCCTTCCCTGCGAATTCTTCAGCAATTTTTTCTAAGGCTGAAAAGAAAATCAATAATGAGATGTGGTTGAACACTAGATGTTAACCTGAATGTTAACATGAATGATAACACCACGGACGTCCCCACAACACACCATGGCTACACACAATGATGCATTACAGTTGAACATTTACAACAAGCCATGTCCGCTGCGATCAATAAACAATTAAATACATTCACAGCATATATGAATAAGAGCCAAGAGCTACAAAACCCAGAATGCAAATTCAAATAGAATCCCTGCAGCTCCATGGTCTTTACTGGCAATCTGAATATTTAAACAAGGGTTCCTGACAAAAAACAGGGCACAAAAACACAGCACATAAACACAGCACACAGCCTTAAGATAGACTGGTAGTGTTGCTGCAGGTATCCATGCTGACATAATGCACTTGATGTGACTCCACAAACATATTTTGCTCACCGCATAATGTATGCATACTAGAGTCTTGCTATATTTTCCACCAGCAAAAAGACCTGACCTCATCAGAGGAGGTATCAGAGCAGGATATAGCATGTCATCAAATCAATGCTGATGTACAAAAGTTAGTCCTCTTATTACATTATCTAATTATAAAAAGTGTTCATTGTATAGCTGGACCTATGAGTGAGTGAGTGTGTTTGGTTGACACCACTCTGAACTACATGTATTCCAGTTATGTCACCGCGTGTCAGGTTAATGTGCACAGGTACGGTGCTAGAAACATAATCGGGACAATTCTAGGATTCTGACGTGCTCAAGGGACGCAACTCTGCAGAGTGAATTGCGGCACCTACCGTATTTTCTTGAGTATAGTGCGCACCCAAGTATAATGCACACACCCCTCTAGCGGATTCAGTATTTTGAAAAAATAATAATTGAATATTATGCACAGAAAAAAATTACACTGTACCCCTTCAGCGAATTCTGGTAAATGAACGGGTGATGAGAAACTGAGTACAAATTTGAAATCTGAGATAAAAAAAATCACTAGACATGTTGATTTACAGTTTAAATTGTATTTTTTGTTCTGCTAGGCATTGTTTTACATCTAGGGATTAAAATTACCTTGTGTATTTTCTCATAAACTAAGCCGGAAACAGCAATCAGCTGTACACATGTTTTCTTGTATTCTACCAGTGATTTGGTCAAGACACACCCAATGATATAACTTTACAGGATTTTAATGCAAGGATCCACAAAAAATTGTATCTGAAACTATTTTTTTATCAGGAATAATATATTCCAATATCTTGTTATTTTAGTAGCAGCTTTTAGTAAATATATTTAAATTAATTTTAACCCTAAACGAAGCAGCTGATCTCTATTGCTGGTTATTATTTTTTACATGGAACCAGTTTGACCAGTCAACGTCGAGGCCCCCCCGCACACGTGATCGCAAGAACTACGTGTTGACATAGAATTGTCAAACTATAACAAATATGACTTTTAACGAGTCAAAGTATGGCATTTATGATATAAGTATCCATTCTCTGTCAACTAAAGTTTGTTTCAAGGCATCAATAGCGGTAGTCTGACAGTGGTGGCTGTTAATAACAGTGAGTTGTGCGTTCTTCTGATCGCTTCACACACAATTTCGCCGAAATTAATTCAAATAATATTAAAAGGAATTTTTAATAAAATTTATGAAATACCATAAAGTCCAGATATACAAAGAACACTTTTTATAGCCAGACTGTGTAATTACACGAATAATTTGCGTGTGTGTGGGGGGGCGGGGAGAGAATCAAAACTCATTATTGCTTGTATAATGCCCACCCCCTTATACACAGCTGTGGGGTATTTTTTAAAAAAAGGTGTGCACTATACTCAAGAAAATACAGTAAGACCAAGGGGCCACCCATCTCAATTTAAGTCTGTAATCATTTTAACCATTTATTTAAGATATCATTCAATATTGTTTATATTAACTTGGGCAAAATAGTGTGTGACGGATCGTTAGATTGAACCAACTTACCGCAACTTACAGCAACCATAATCAGGTTACTGCTATTGACTCCTTGAAACAAACCTTTGCTCTCAGAGAATGGATACAACATATCAAAAATACCATACACTGACTCGTAAAAAGTCATATTTGTTGTAGTTTGACTGTAATATGTCAACATAACGTTTTAGCGATCAAAATAGCAAGATCGGAGGAAGCTTGGAAGGGTCAACCATCAAACTGATCCGTATGTAAAAAATATCCGTCAATAAAATAAAAGTACTATGCTTATGGTTATTTATATTTAAAATGCAAAAACCTCATTTAAAAAAATAACAAGATATAAGAATATATTATTCTTTGCAAAATATTACTTTCTGATAAAATTTCTTCCCATCATTGTATTAAAATTCTTTACCAGTTATGAGTGAGTATTGGGTTTTCTTACACCACTTTAAGCAATATTCCAGCAATATCATGGCGGATACGAGAAATGTGCTTCACACATTGTACCCATGTGGGGGGAATCCAACCCGGGTCTTTCATGTTTGGCATGACGAGCGAACGCTTTAACCACGAGGCTACCCCACCACCCCTTTTCCAGTTTTCACATGAATCTCTAGAAGATTGGGGAGAAAATGTGTGAACATTTGCTATTTCCAGCTTATTAAAATTACAAATGGCATTCACCCACTCACCAAGCCTTACCACCCATGCCATTTAGTCACCTCTTACAGCCAGCATAGGTTCCTGGGGAGCTTTATTCTAACAAGGAATCCTCACAGGGGTAGTTCAGAGAACAAGGTGGAATGGCCAACATAAAATAAACGCAACACCTAATCTACACAGAAGAAAAGTCATTTATTTACTAACTCTGACCACTGGCAGGTAAACACTGTCATATCACACCGTCATATCACACTGTCATATCACAATGTCATATCACACAGTCATATCACACAGTCATATCACACAGTCATATCACACGGTCTTTACACCACACTGGGCAGTTTTCTTTGTCCAAATAACATGGGGACTATAAGGACATTCTTCATATTGGCAGTTATCTTTATAACCTGTGATGATACAGAAGCACATCTACAGCCTATGTGAACTCCACCTGACCCTGCTGGCAGCAAGTGTCACAAAGTCCATTGTTTGACTGGTGACCTGGATTCTAGGGCAACTCTCAGCTGTGACCAGGCTGAGGCTGATCTCCCTGTGCCAGCTTTCAACAATACCCCACCAACACAGTACCAGCCTTCGTCCCCACCCCACAGTACCAGCCTTCGTACCCCACCCCACAGTACCAGCCTACGTCCCCACTCCACAGTACCAGCCTTCGTCCCCCAACCCACAGTACCAGCCTTCGTCCCCCAACCCACACTACCAGCCTTCGTCCCCCACACCACAGTACCAGCCTACGTCCCCACCGCACACTACCAGCTTTCGTCCCCCACCCCACAGTACCAGCCTTCGTCCCCCAACCCACAGTACCAGCCTTCGTCCCCCAACCCACAGTACCAGCCTTCGTCCCCCAACCCACAGTACCAGCCTTCGTCCCCCACCCCACAGTACCAGCCTACGTCCCCACCCCACAGTACCAGCCTACGTCCCCACCCCACAGTACCAGCCTACGTCCCCCACCCCACACTACCAGCCTTCGTCCCCCACCCCACACTACCAGCCTTCGTCCCCCACCCCACAGTACCAGCCTTTGTCCCCCACCCCACACTGCCAGCCTTCGTCCCCCACCCCTCAGTACCAGCCTTCGTCCCCAATGCACACTACCAGCTTTCGTCCCCCACCCCACAGTACCAGCCTTCGTCCCCCACACCACAGTACCAGCCTACGTCCCAACCGCACACTACCAGCTTTCGTCCCCCACCCCACAGTACCAGCCTTCGTCCCCCAACCCACAGTACCAGCCTTCGTCCCCCAACCCACAGTACCAGCCTTCGTCCCCCAACCCACAGTACCAGCCTTCGTCCCCCACCCCACAGTACCAGCCTACGTCCCCACCCCACAGTACCAGCCTACGTCCCCACCCAACAGTACCAGCCTACGTCCCCACCCAACAGTACCAGCCTTCCCCCCCCCCCACCCCACAGTACCAGCCTACATCCCCACCCCATAGTACCAGCCTACGTCCCCACCATACAGCTGACACCCCCACTGCTCGGACTACATCCCTACACCTAACCCCCTATGTATGCCTACACCCCCACTGTACAGCCTACACCTCCACTGTACAGCCTACACCCCCAGCATACAGCCTACACCCCCATTGTACAGCCTACACCCCCACTGTACAGCCTACACCCCCACTGTACAGCCTACACCCCCAGTACGCCACCACTGTTCAGCCAACACCCCCACCATACAGCCAACACCCCCACCATACAGCCAACACCCCCAGTATACAGCCAACACACCCACCATACAGCCTACACCCCCAGTATACAGCCTACACCCCCACCGTACAGCCTACACCCCCAGTACGCCACCACTATTCAGCCAACACCCCCACCATACAGCCAACACCCCCACCATACAGCCTACACCCCCACCATACAGCCAACACACCCACCATACAGCCTACACCCCCAGTATACAGCCAACACCCCCACCATACAGCCTACACCCCCAGTATACAGCCTACACCCCCAGTATACAGCCTACACCCCCAGTATACAGCCAACACCCCCACCATACAGCCTACACCCCCAGTATACAGCCTACACCCCCAGTATACAGCCTACACCCCCAGTATACAGCCTACACCCCCAGTATACAGCCAACACCCCCACCATACAGCCTACACCCCCACCATACAGCCAACACCCCCACCATACAGCCTACACCCCCACCATACAGCCTACACCCCCACCATACAGCCTACACCCCCACCATACAGCCTACACCCCCACCATACAGCCTACACCCCCAGTATACAGCCAACACCCCCACCATACAGCCTACACCCCCAGTATACAGCCTACACCCCCAGTATACAGCCAACACCCCCACCATACAGCCTACACCCCCAGTATACAGCCTACACCCCCAG